GTAGACCAATCACAACAGACTGGGCCATCTGTCCAATCAGAGCTGAGTAGACCAATCACAACAGACTGGGTCATCTGACCAATCAGAGCCGAGTAGACCAATCACAACAGACTGGGTCATCTGACCAATCAGAGCCGAGTAGACCAATCACAACAGACTGGGCCATCTGTCCAATCAGAGCAGAGTAGATCAATCACAACAGACTGGGCCATCTGTCCAATCAGAGCATAGTAGATCACAACAGACTGGGCCATCTGTCCAATCAGAGCAGAGTAGATCAATCACAACAGACTGGGCCATCTGTCCAATCAGAGCCGAGTAGACCAATCACAACAGACTGAGCCATCTGACCAATCAGAGCAGAGTAGACCAATCACAACAGACTGAGTCATCTGACCAATCAGAGCAGAGTAGACCAATCACAACAGACTGAGCCATCTGACCAATCAGAGCCGAGTAGACCAATCACAACAGACTGGGCCATCTGACCAATCAGAGCCGAGTAGACCAATCACAACAGACTGAGCCATCTGACCAATCAGAGCCGAGTAGACCAATCACAACAGACTGGGCCATCTGTCCAAACACAGCAGAGTAGATCAATCACAACAGACTGGGCCATCTGTCCAATCAGAGCCGAGTAGACCAATCACAACAGACTGAGCCATCTGACCAATCAGAGCAGAGTAGACCAATCACAACAGACTGAGCCATCTGACCAATCAGAGCAGAGTAGACCAATCACAACAGACTGAGCCATCTGACCAATCAGAGCCGAGTAGACCAATCACAACAGACTGGGCCATCTGACCAATCAGAGCAGAGTAGACCAATCACAACAGACTGAGTCATCTGACCAATCAGAGCAGAGTAGACCCATCACAACAGACTGGGCCATCTGACCAATCAGAGCAGAGTAGATCAATCACAACAGACTGGGCCATCTGACCAATCAGAGCAGAGTAGACCAATCACAACAGACTGGGCCATCTGACCAATCAGAGCTGAGTAGACCAATCACAACAGACTGGGTCATCTGACCAATCAGAGCCGAGTAGACCAATCACAACAGACTGGGTCATCTGACCAATCAGAGCCGAGTAGACCAATCACAACAGACTGGGTCATCTGACCAATCAGAGCCGAGTAGACCAATCACAACAGACTGAGCCATCTGACCAATCAGAGCAGAGTAGACCAATCACAACAGACTGAGTCATCTGACCAATCAGAGCAGAGTAGACCAATCACAACAGACTGAGCCATCTGACCAATCAGAGCTGAGTAGACCAATCACAACAGACTGGGTCATCTGTCCAATCAGAGCATAGTAGACCAATCACAACAGACTGGGCCATCTGACCAATCAGAGCCGAGTAGACCAATCACAACAGACTGGGTCATCTGTCCAATCAGAGCATAGTAGACCAATCACAACAGACTGGGTCATCTGACCAATCAGAGCCGAGTAGACCAATCACAACAGACTGGGCCATCTGACCAATCAGAGCCGAGTAGACCAATCACAACAGACTGGGCCATCTGACCAATCAGAGCCGAGTAGACCAATCACAACAGACTGGGTCATCTGACCAATCAGAGCCGAGTAGACCAATCACAACAGACTGGGCCATCTGTCCAATCAGAGCTGAGTAGACCAATCACAACAGACTGGGTCATCTGACCAATCAGAGCCGAGTAGACCAATCACAACAGACTGGGTCATCTGACCAATCAGAGCCGAGTAGACCAATCACAACAGACTGAGTCATATGACCAATCAGAGCAGAGTAGACCAATCACAACAGACTGGGCCATCTGTCCAATCAGAGCAGAGTAGACCAATCACAACAGACTGAGCCATCTGACCAATCAGAGCAGAGTAGACCAATTACAACAGACTGAGCCATCTGACCAATCAGAGCCGAGTAGACCAATCACAACAGACTGGGCCAACTGTCCAATCAGAGCCAAGTAGACCAATCACAACAGACTGGGCCATCTGTCCAATCAGAGCATAGTAGACCAATCACAACAGACTGAGCCATCTGACCAATCAGAGCCGAGTAGACCAATCACAACAGACTGAGCCATCTGACCAATCAGAGCAGAGTAGACCAATCACAACAGACTGAGCCATCTGACCAATCAGAGCAGAGTAGACCAATCACAACAGACTGAGCCATCTGACCAATCAGAGCCGAGTAGACCAATCACAACAGACTGGGCCATCTGACCAATCAGAGCCGAGTAGACCAATCACAACAGACTGAGCCATCTGACCAATCAGAGCCGAGTAGACCAATCACAACAGACTGGGTCATCTGACCAATCAGAGCCGAGTAGACCAATCACAACAGACTGGGCCATCTTTCCAATCAGAGCAGAGTAGATCAATCACAACAGACTGGGCCATCTGACCAATCAGAGCCGAGTAGACCAATCACAACAGACTGAGCCATCTGACCAATCAGAGCCGAGTAGACCAATCACAACAGACTGGGCCATCTGACCAATCAGAGCCGAGTAGACCAATCACAACAGACTGAGCCATCTGACCAATCAGAGCCGAGTAGACCAATCACAACAGACTGAGCCATCTGACCAATCAGAGCAGAGTAGACCAATCACAACAGACTGAGCCATCTGTCCAATCAGAGCTGAGTAGACCAATCACAACAGACTGAGCCATCTGACCAATCAGAGCCGAGTAGACCAATCACAACAGACTGAGCCATCTGACCAATCAGAGCAGAGTAGACCAATCACAACAGACTGGGCCATCTGACCAATCAGAGCAGAGTAGACCAATCACAACAGACTGAGCCATCTGACCAATCAGAGCCGAGTAGACCAATCACAACAGACTGGGCCATCTGACCAATCAGAGCCGAGTAGACCAATCACAACAGACTGAGCCATCTGACCAATCAGAGCCGAGGAGACCAATCACAACAGACTGAGCCATCTGACCAATCAGAGCAGAGTAGACCAATCACAACAGACTGAGCCATCTGTCCAATCAGAGCTGAGTAGACCAATCACAACAGACTGAGCCATCTGACCAATCAGAGCCGAGTAGACCAATCACAACAGACTGAGCCATCTGACCAATCAGAGCAGAGTAGACCAATCACAACAGACTGGGCCATCTGACCAATCAGAGCCGAGTAGACCAATCACAACAGACTGAGCCATCTGACCAATCAGAGCAGAGTAGACCAATCACAACAGACTGGGCCATCTGACCAATCAGAGCAGAGTAGACCAATCACAACAGACTGAGCCATCTGACCAATCAGAGCCGAGTAGACCAATCACAACAGACTGAGCCATCTGACCAATCAGAGCAGAGTAGACCAATCACAACAGACTGAGCCATCTGTCCAATCAGAGCCGAGTAGACCAATCACAACAGACTGAGTCATCTGTCCAATCAGAGCCGAGTAGACCAATCACAACAGACTGAGCCATCATTGGATGCATGTAAACTTATAGTAGAAGACCTAAAAAAAATGAGGAACCTTTAAAATAGCATAATAGGGGCATTTTAATAACTAAAATAGCACTAATTAATAGCCATAAACTGCCATTAGCTGTTCAGAATGGTGTTATGAGATTTCTCTGCTGTGTTTTTGTCAAGTGACGTTTCATTCAATCATTCAATGAAACGAGCAGCTAACCACGTGTTGGTACTCATAATGTCCTCCATGTTCTGTGTTTAATAACTGTAATGTGAAGGCACATTCACATCAGATGGGATAAAACAAACACAACAGAAAAATGATTCACAAGTTGATCATGACATCGGATATCTAAACAAAGTCCAAACATTTATTCAGCATCCAAACAATTCAGAAAAACAAAGGTTAAGTTTAAATAGTTTTATTGCAATAAATTGCTAAATTGTTGTCATTGTATATATCAAATCAGATATCTTTCATTTATGTTAATACAAATAATGATAATAAAATATTTAGCATCCAAACAATTGAAAAAAAGAAATCCTTCCAAATGAAGAAAAAAAAAAGCATTGCAATATGATATTTCAGATTTGACACATTGCATGGTCTAGTTTTAGTATATTGATGATGTCATGATTATAATATTTTATGTTCCTGGTGGGAATACGCCTTTAACGTTTCATGAGTCTGTCTACTTGATCTATGGATGCAAAAGGAATGTGTCTCACCAAGTTACTTTTTTTTTTTCTGGAAAAAATGTACTTGGTGAAGTTTTGCATTCCAAGCCTGATGGCTTGACGTGAGTCTGATTACTCACTGTGTGTGTTGTTCTGTTCTGGTGTGCATCAGATTGTGTGGATATACTCACCATTTGTCTTTTTGTTACCTTCAGTCGCATGTATAGAATTTATCAGCCCGTTCCATATAGAGATAACATAAACAGACACAGCTGCTATTGGGAGTGCTGAATATCTGTCTCAGTTTTCCAGCAGCTGCAGCGAGCTGACATTCCTGGAGCTTCATCGGCTCATTAATACTTTATTTTAGGAAAAACAATTTAGGGATTTATGTCAAAGTAAATAATGTGACCATTTAGAGGAATAGTTCACGCAAAAATGAACATTCTGTCATTATTTCCTCACACAATGATTATCAATATCCTGTAACGACAATCCTGTATGAGTTGCTTTCTTCCATGGAACACAAAAGAAGACGTTCAGCGGAATGTTCTTTTTCTGCTGAACATTTTCAGTGAATAATGACTGTTTCTCATAGCTATCATAAGACTTCAGAAATCTTGTCATAATATCATATTTTTTTGGACTTTGAGAGCCCTCGATTTTTGCGATCACTGCATGGAATAGAGCAGCCTAACATGTCCTAACTTGTTATACGGAAGACAGTTGTACAGGTTTGGAACAACATGAGGATGAGTAATAACGACAGAATCCGCATTTTCAACCTATTCCTTTAAATGTAATGCCACTTTGTTTTCAAATGATCTGTTGGTTAACAAGTTTGTGTGTTCCTTCACAGCAAATCCGTAAGCTGAGGAGGGAGCTGGAATCTTCCCAGGAGAAGGTGGCCAATCTGACCTCACAGCTGTCTGCTAATGTATGTGCGCACTGTCAAACTCGGATACAGTTAAAGATTAGAATATGTATACTACTGTTCGAACAGTTATTTTAAATTGTAATAATATTTCTCAGCAAAGCTGTTTTCACTGGGTTTTTGATTAAGTAAACGCAGCTTTGGTGAGCAGAATAGACTTCTTTCAAAAACATTTCAACGACCCCAAACTTTCGAAAAGTAGTTCTGAAATACTCCAAACATTCCGATTATTATTTAAAGCTGCAGTCCGTAACTTTTTTGTTTGTTTTCAAAATGTACAAAATTGATGTAAGCGAGTACATCATCAATCCATTTTCCAAAGCGTGTTTTTGTCCTGAATCGCTACCGTACACTTATAATAAGTGTTTATATTGGGACTATTTTAGACTGGTACGGGTCGTACCGCTGCGGAGTAGCCCAGCACCTGCGTGACTCGTCATAGACATAAACAGACAGAGGTAACTCCGGCTACAGTGTTCGTCCGCAAGACGCATGCAGTTCTGTTTATTAACCACTAGGACTCCAAACGTTACGGACTGCAGCTTTAATATTACCTTAATTATATGACAGTCACTTGTAATGCAATTAAATATTTGTTCTCTCTCTCCAGGCGAACCTGGTGGCAGCGTTTGAGCAGAGTCTGGCCCTCATGACCTCTCGACTCCAGTGCCTCTCTGTCAGTGCTGAGCAGAAGGTACGATAGTCATCCGAAAAAACACACAAACTCCTGATCAATCTCCACCACTGATTAATTTAAAGAAGATGAAAAACTGGCTTATTGGTCACGACAACACACCAAGCTGACGTAAAAGAACTAGCAGTGATGAAGCTGAGTGTGTTATCACCTCGCGTCGGCTGCGTCTCGGCCAAAACGCTGCGCTTAAACACACCAAAAGGACTACGAGCTCTCTTTCATCACTTTCGCTTTTATTCTCCTGCACTGACTCGTTCGCAAAACTGAAGAGCCAATCAGAGTTCTCTCTCTCATCGACATCGCCAAAGCCGACAGACGCAAATTCAACATGCTCAATCGGCCAAAATGTGATGGGGTCCAACTAGGGGTGGGCGATATGGCCAAAATCTTATATCACGATATGAATAATTCACGACACATAACGATATACAGGTGAAACTCGAAAAATTTGAGTATCGTGCAAAAGTTCATTTATTTCAGTAATTCAACTTAAAGGGTGAAACTTATATATTATATAGACATATTTAGATATATTTCAAGCCTTTATTTGTTATAATTTTGATGATTATGGCTTACAGCTTATGAAAACCCCAAATTCAAAATTAGAATATTGTGAAAAGGTTTTCATAGCTATAAGCTATAATCATCACAATTATAACAAATAAAGGCTTGAAATATCTCACTTTGCATGTAATGAGTCTAATATATTAGTTTCACCTTTTAAGTTGAATTACTGAAATAAATGAACTTTTGCACGATATTCAAATTTTTCACCTATATATCGCAACATAGTTATTTTTGATACCATTGAAATTTCATAATTTTTGTCACCAATTTCAATATCACAAAAAAAACTAGTGCAGGGCAACAATTAATCGCGATTAATCGCATCCAAAATTAAAGTTTGTGTTTACATAATATATGTGTGTACTGTGTATAATTATTTTGTATATATAAATACACACATTATGCATGTATATATTTAAGAAATATTTGCATGTATATACTGTATATATATATTATACATCATTTATGTTATATATAAATATACATTTTATATATAAATAACACATTTTTCATAAATATATACATTAGGGGTGTAATGGTTCACAAAATTCACGGTTCGGTTCGATACGATACACTTGTGTCACGGTTCGGTTCGGTACGATTCGGTACGTTTCCGATACAGGAAAAAGAAAGAAATGCCAGAGAAATTTCCTTGATTTAATTTTTTTAATTATATTTTTATTAAAACTACATCATAAAGTATGATATTTTTTAACTTTGAGCAATGATGGAGCTATAGGCCTACTTGACTTTTCTTAGGAGCTTATAAAACAAAACAGCTCCTTGGTCAAAATGAAATGTAATATTGTAGTAGTTATAAACAAAGGTTTATTTTAGTTCAGATTAACATTTGAGGGCAGCAATTGTATTCATAATGTCAAAATAAAACCGACGTGATGTTACTTGAAAGCATTATAGCCTACTATTCCTGCCAAACTCCCATGGTTACAGTTAGTAGTGTTACTACAGTAAACCCATGGTGAATGTTGCTGATCTGTGGACACTGGATAGTTCATTCATGGCACAATGTTTCTTCCTGGTTTCCACGTCAGCGCTGTTTGATCCGTTAATAACGGAGAAATGCGAATGTTTCTCACTAGATCTCGCAGCGATGTTATTAGGCTACTTCAGGGGCGAAGTCAAATGCTTTCTTTACTGGATGTCTCAGCGCAGTGTAGTGACAGTGCTGATGATTAAGATCGGCTCGCGCTGCATTGGTCCTCCAAACTGATAAACGGTCCGCCAACCACACAATAACGAGTGGTTTCGTTCTGCTTACATTACATTTGCCATTTGATGTTGGGCAATGTTGTGGTCACGCCAGCGTCTCTTACATTATGAGCGCGCTAGCCACGCGTGACGCGCCTACATTTGAAATAACAAAATTTTGGTCGGCAGGAAAAATGGTCCAACGAACCGTTCGGTTTAAAAATGCGTACCGAAAACCGAACCGAAAGCCTCGTACCGAACGGTTCAATACGAATACGTGTATCGTTACACCCCTAATATACATGCATAGTGTGTATTTATATATACAAAATAATTATACACAGTACACACACACATCATTTTTAAACACAAACTTTTATTTTGGATGCGATTAATCGTTGCCCAGCACAAAAAAAACCTAATACTAGTCTAGCCTATGTTTAAAAAAAGTACTCTCAAGCAGTGATGGGAATAACGGCGTTATAAATAAACGGCGTTACTAACGGCGTTATCTTTTTCAGTAACGAGTAATCAAACGAATTACTGTTTTCCCCGTTACAACGCAGTTACCGTTACTGACAAAAAAAATGTGGCGTTACTATAATTGAACTCACTGAAGCGGCTTTCATCCGAGTAGGCTCTCTCTCTGCCATAGGACCTGCAAAGTTTTTTTTCTCTGGTGTGTGTGTGTGTTTATGAGGCGCCGGAGTGGACAAAAGCGCGAGCGCGCTCAATGAGCGAGAGAGACCGAATGTGTCCGAGAGCGCGCTCAACAGTTGCGCAAGAGAGACCGAGGGTGTCCGAGCATTATATAGTTTGTTTATAAATAAATGACACATATCTGCAACGTTAATTAATTTACATGGTTATACAAATAAAATCTAAAAAATTACCGTCAGGTAACGTTCTGTTTAGGTTATAAAATAAACCCGAAAATAACCTGCAGGGAACATTCACAGAAAACATCTTTGTTTGACCGGTTGTAAACACGTGCGGCAAACATGTCTAGAATTTGGCTTAAATAACCTCTGATGATGACGTTCGCTATAGGTTATAAAAATAAACCCCCAAAATATTATATTTTAGTATTATATTTTTTTTTTGGTAAATTGTTCAGTATTATATTGAGAGAGCACTTGTTAAACTGTTTACTTTTGTTAGGAAGAAAATACTCAGGCTACAGTAGGTCTACTAGTTGTGAAGTTGTGTAACAGTTTTATCATTTTAATATGCACAAAGAGTATGTATATTTTTTATTATTATTTATTCATTTTTGGTACATTTCTTAAGAAGCATAATTTATTTTTAAACTTATTTGTTGGCCAGTTGGGGTCTGTGCGATATTAAGTAAACCATCTATAATGTTTTATTGTTCTACTATAGTAATGCTAATATTTAGAATAATATATTGAATTTTAATAGGCGTCTCTCACATTGTCCCACAGCAACATTAAAATAGAATAAATTATTATTATAAAACATTGAACACTAATCTACACTATTAAGTGTCCATTTCATTAATTTAACATATTTAATACTGGGGGCATCCAAATTATTTGACATAGGCCTATTTGATTTTTTTTTTTTTTAAGTAACGCAATAGTTACTTTCTCTGGTAATTAGTTACTTTTATAATGATGTAACTCAGTTACTAACTCAGTTACTATTTGTGAGAAGTAACTAGTAACTATAACTAATTACTTTTTTTAAGTAACATGCTCAACACTGCTCTCAAGCCTATTGAAGAAAAGTAAAGAGTCAGTGATAAAAATAAGAACAAAGAAATTAATAACAAACAATAGAACAGAGAAATAGACCTACCTGAAATAAGAAATACATGCCTACAATAATTGTATAACGTAATCAAATGTATAAAATAACACTGCATATCTTAACTGTGTAAATTAAATGTACATTTACTCTTCTTAAAGTGAGACATAAGTGATTCAGTCAAGAGCATTGAGAGATTTGCTTATTTTTTGATGTTTTTCACAATTTAAAACAATCTATTGTTTTATGTGAATGATTAGGCAGAATGATTTTCAGATCAATTTGAAGCAAAAACTCTAGGCGACAACATCCACTAGTCAAAAGTCTTGTGGACAGATATTTAGTATGTTATTTGTGGCCTTATATTAGAAACTTTATTTTTTAGTTTTTTCAATAACCACGCATAAACAATATTCTCTCAAAAATACAAACATGTACATACATGTTGCTCACATATTATGGTAGCCCTGTGTGTGCTATATAGAGTGTAATTTCACCTGTGCCATTAATATGTTTATAAGCAACTGAAAAAAGCAGAAATGTCAGAGCATACCAAAACATCTCAAGGACCCTGAAAACACCTCAGACCCCAGAGGGTTAACATTAATGACACAGACAACAGCAGGTTTATTAGGCTACTCTCACTTTAAGACGGAACACACACATGCAATTTCTTTCTCAACTGTTTATGTTCCCTTAAGAAAAAAATTACTGTATTTACGAGGATACTCGCAAAGACGGCCATTTTGACACATGAGTGTGTGTATTTGACACAATAACGCAACAAAAAGAACTCGGTTCAGTACTCGTATGTGCGTCTCTCAGACAGCGCTGAGAAACAGTCCCTCAGACCGTCGGCTTGGTGTGTCAGGGCCTTTAGAGCATTAGCATATCACGAGGGAGTAGCACCATTGAGCTGCCAAAACAATATAGTTCTGCTGATTTCATGTTTTTATATATTATGCATATGTATATAGTAGTGCTGTGAAATTGATTAATCGCGATTAATCGCATCTAACATATACGTTTTTGTTTACATAATATATGTGTGTGTATATATCCAGTATACACATATTATATATATGTATATATATAAAATAAACGTGTGTTTGTGTGTGTGTTTGTGTGTGCGTGTCTGTTTATATACACTATAGCGGGTTCCTGAGGGGAAAAAGGAGAACGGACACGAGAAAGTGAGTTCAACCCAGAGGGTGTATTTATTTACAAGTGAGCAAATGCAAAGAAAAGTAGACCAGTGGATGCTTGGCTGTAATCCTCAGGTCCGTGTCTCCGTAAAGTAGTGCTTCTTTTGGTGTTTCCATTGAGAGTGTCTTCATGGTCTGGGTGAGTGAGTGTGAAGAGCAGACAGTGTTCGGTCTGTGTGGAGGTCTGCCGGCAGAGAGTCCGTAACACCAACCTCCTGTTAATCACTCGCTGGCAAAGAAACCAAATGCACAACAAGCGTTTGTTTCAGTTGAGAGAAGAATCTCTTCCTCTTCTGTCTCCATCGGCGCTAGAAGATTGACTGAATGCTACGGCTGCAACTAACGATTATTTTGATAATCGATTAATCTGCAGATTATTTTTCGATTAATCGCATAAAACTTGTAACATTATTATCCATTAACCTCTTAAGTGTCCACAGCCATTTGGACCATAATGGCCCACAGCCATTACATATTTAAAACAGTAATATCCTATAAGAAACCTTAACTAATCTTGACAAACTATATATCATTTGAAAGCTTGCAGTCTCTAGTTTTCATATTTGGTTTCTGATTTTACTTTACATTACAGAAGAGCAGTAATTTGTCAATTTGTAAAAATAATATTTTCATACTCCTAAGACGTGTTCAGACTTTTATTTTGAAATAGCGAGAAAAAAAACATGAAAAATCCTCAAAGATTGGTAGAAACCTCAGTTTGTTTTCATGCCAAGAGTTTAAAAGATAACATCCATTCCATTTTTTTTTTTTTTTTAAAGGTCCGAAAACATTTTAAATATAAAGAAAAAAATAATAGATTCACCATTTGTGATGAACACATATGTGTTATTTGTATGTTTATTAGAGGTTGAATTCACAAGTCTGTGAAGTTTAACAAGACTCGCTATTATTGGAAACACTCGTGTGACTTTCTAACATTTACAGATAAGGATATAACCATAACATGTAAGGAAATCGTGCCGAAGGCATTAAACAGCACACGCATCCTTCAAAGCATGATAGGGTAAGATGTAGTAACGCTTATGCTTTTGTTTGAAGCGCTTATAAATAAATCATTCTCATGTTTCGGACAACTTGGATCATGTACCATTCCAACAGCAGCTCACTCTGCTGTTGGAATAGTGTCCTCCGCTATTTTATTTGTATTAATATATGTGTGTGTGTCTATATATATATATATATATACACACACACACATATATTATGTAAACAACAACTTTAATGTTAGATGCGATTAATCGATTTGACAGTACTAGAATATAAAAACATATTACCCAAACCTCAGCTGTCCTTTCACTGCCTAAAAGCTACATTTAGGTCTGTATGTGTAACCACACAAAGTCACTGAGAGTGAAAAAGCAAATTTGGGTCTAATTATGACTGAATGGAGGTTGGGGGTTGCTGGCTTTTCTATACGTTCCAGACGTTCATGGCACATTGCCCTCTGTGAAAGAGGCAGTCGGTCTAGAAAGCTTTTTTTGCGAGTCAGTGACCCGGATTCATCGGTTCATTACAGTAACTGTGACCCTGCAGATTGTTTCAGTGATTCAGAGAAAGCAAATGATGTTGAGGTACCAGTGATGCACAGCGGTGGGAGTTTTGGTAGACGTCCCTGTGGCTACGTCTGCTGTAAATGTTATTGGTCAAGTGCAGGCAGTAACTCATTGTCAAAGCAGAAGTTAACCCACATTTATTTGGAAAACCATCGGTAGCAGCGCTTTGGGGCATGTTGTTTCAATGTTGATGCTTTAAATGGATGAGCACTGAATAAAAAAATCCGTATTTCTCTACAGGACAGTGAATTAACAGACCTGAGAGAAACAATCGAGAACCTTAAAACCAAGAACCTGGAGGCACAGGCCGTCATCCAAGTCGCCCTCAATAACCCTGATGTTGCCCCCAAAGGTGAGGACAGGACAGATACACCTCGGATTGTGTTTTACCTCAATATACGATTATTATGTTACCAAACGAACATTCTTTATCCCTTCTCTCAGAGTTTCGAATCAGGAGGCAGAATTCATCCGAGAGCATCTCTAGCCTGAACAGCATTACCAGCCACTCCAGTGTGGGCAGCCTGAAAGACGATGCCAAGAAGAAGAAGAAAAAGAGCTGGGTAAGTGGAAAAAGACGAGCCGACGGAATTATTGCGGATATTATTATCTGCGAGCGCGTAACCACAGTTTTCATTATATTCTTCTTTTGTAATTCTCTAAGGTCTGTGAAGTAAGTTTATAAGTCTCTCTGAGGGAATGTTCCTTCTCGTTATGTCTTGTTTCTAACCGTTCTACAAAGCTCACTGGTTTCCATTGGTACAGCCACTGCAGCTTATACTATCATACGTGTAAACTATTATGTGTTACAACAGTAAAGGGGTGAATTTACTAAGCAAATAGCACATGGTATTTAAGGGCAAAAAACATATTTTTTTTGCACCTGGTGTCCAAAATGACATACTCTATGCACTTGTGCCATTCACTATGTACTCAACCATCTAGTCACCAATGTCGGATGACAAAATAACCATATAAAATTCATAGACTAGACTCTTACAGACAGTTTAGTGCATGAAGTGTCCAACGTTCCACACTTTTTTTTGGTTAAATAAGTGCATAATTCGGATGGATGAATTCTTTTGGAATTTGCAGTGTGATAGAATAGTGGACAAGTAAACAAACTGGGATGCAGCTTCTAAAAACTGACAAGATGGGAACCAACAATTTGCGTCATGACCTGAATTGGATTAATTTGCTTTAGTCCGTCAGGCATGAAAACAGCTAATAATGTGTCGCAAATGAACTGCTCTATCTGTGGTCACATTTCACCATTTCTTAGTGAATTCCCTGTAAACATGTGGAAATAATGTGGCTATTGCTGAAGAAGAAAATAAAAGAAAAAATGTTTAATGTGGCTATTGCTGAAGAAGAAAAGAAAAGAAAAAAAACATTATTGAATACTGCTGCACATGAACGAAGCTACAGCTAAACGCTCGCACTAACTACAGCATGTTGAGAAAGAACACTTTGTATGTTGAAACTATCTTACAGCGGTTCAGTATTTTATTAGTATTAGGTTCAGTGTTGTAAACTCATTTATGGAAATGCGTGTATCATGTACAGTATGCCTGAGTGTTTCAAGTGCCCTTGTTGAAAAACATCCTTTTCTCTCGTGTTGCTGTTTAACCGTCTGTCTCTTTGAGTTTGAAGTACCGTGATATGTAGTACTTGAATTAAACGCTACATAAAGTAGGGAGGTTCGCAGAATGTATAATCATTTTCATACAATAATTATTATTTTACTCTAAAAAACTAATAACATTCTCTTTCTTGCATAAAATAACACAATGGTACTTTTGTCTAGTTTGTAGTCTTTTATTCAGTTGTTTACATTTTTTTCTAAATAGTAGTTTCGATCTGTACACGTTAATGGTTAGTATTATGGTCAACAGTTAATGGTCAGTATTATTTTTTTGAATTATTTTAAAGAAATTAATACTTTTATCCAGCAAGGGTGCAATTAATTGATCAAGAATAACAATAAAGGCATTTATAATGTTACAAAAGATTTCTATTTCAAATACTGCTTTTCTTTTGAACTTTCTATTCATCAAGAATCCTGAAAAAAATGCATCACGTTTCCACAAAAATACGAAGCGGCACAACTCTTTTCAACATTGATAATAATAATAATAATAATACATGTTTTTTGGAGCATCAAATCATCATATTAGAATGATTTCTGAAGGATCATGTGACTAAAGACTGGAGAAATGATGCTGAAAATGTAGCTTTGATCACAGAAATAAACTACATTTGAATATATATTACAAATGAAAATTGTAATTTTAAATTTCAATAATATTTCCCATTTACAATTTTTTTTACTGTATTTTTGATCAAACAAATGCAGCCTTGGTGAGCAGAAGAGACTTCTTTATATTTCGAACAATGGTGTAAATTAATGAACTTCACTAAATTAATAAACATATTTTTTTTTTTCAGAATAAACAAGCACTTGTATAATGTACTCTTGTCTTTCTCTGGATTTCTCTGTAGTTGCGAAGCTCTTTTGGCAAGGCGTTCAGCATAAAGAAGGGTGCTAAAGGTGGCTCGATGTACTCTGATATTGAAGAGATCACCACTCCAGATTCTTCTGCCCCCAATTCACCAAAACTGGCCCATGAAGACGGAGAGAATCCGCTCCCTTCCCTTCAATCCAGCCAATCAGCCATCTCCTCTGTGTGAGTAAAGTTTGAATAGTTTTTAATAAAAAGAGAGGCAAGAGAGGGTGATTTCACTTTGGGGTTTCACTTTACTTTGATGGTCCCTTTAACACATTCTGTTGACTATAAGTAACGTTGCACCTACATGTCTATTAACTCTCATCAGGGTGTTAGTAGAGTATTAGTAGACTGGTAGGGTTAGAATAAGTTCTAATAAGAATAAGAATACATGTACTTGCAAAGTTACTTATAGTCAGTAGAAAGTCTGTTGGAGGACCAACACAATAGAGTTGGCAGATATTAAGCAGAGAGTCTACTAATACTCTAATGAGAGTTAGTTGACATGTAGTTGCAAAGTTACTCTTAGTCAACTGAATGTTCAGAAGCTACCATCAAAATAAAGTGTTGCCCACGTTTGAAATGCAGCAGTAATAAACTGCGTTTAAGTGTAATCACATTTAAAACCATAATGACGTTGTAACAGGATCCATGAAAGTAACGAGGAAAACGAGAGCGATGAGAAGGCGGTATCGGATCTGCGGTCTGAGCTGTGGGAGAAAGAGATGAAACTGACGGATATCCGGCTAGAGGCGCTGAGCTCGGCCCACCAGCTGGAGCAGCTGCGAGAGTCCATGAACAACATGCAGGTTAGGAACTTTTTGCTACTGTCACATTTACCTTTGTTCAGGAAATTTTCACTGGCAAGATCAAGTCTTTTCAATAGGAATCCACACAGTCTGGAATTTTGCATGAGGGTGGAAGATTTCCCAATACAATTCATGCAAATTTGCCAAGTTGACCAGCAGAAAGCTGCTTGGTTTGAGGGTGGCTTCTGCATGAGCTTCCTACACTGAAACACTATTGACAATAGACCATTTTTGCCTACAAAATGTACCTACTTTAGCACTGCTAAAGGCTCGAATACACTACACGACAGGGGCGTCACTAGGATTTTCATTTTAGGGGGGCTAAGCCCCCAATATGATTTTTAAACAAATTATAAAAAAAGGTAACACTTTAGTTTAGGATCTAAAGATCACTATTAACCATTTTCATTACGATGCAAAGGCACGGTTTTATAATAACTGTGGTCCCAAATGTGAGGCAGGGCAAATAGGGGGGTTCGGGGTCTCCCCGAGAAAATTTTGATTTCTCTGATCTACATATGTGCATTTTAAGATGTTCTGAAGGCCAAAAAACTTGGATAGTGGGCAGCTGACAATTTTTCTCTCCTCATCAGCAGCATCACTTTTTTTCTCTTTGTTTTTCTCTTGCCCTGTCTCTTCCCCTCCTAAAGCTGAGCTTTGACTGATATAGGCTTTTCATTTTTGTCTGTCAGTGAAGAAAGTAAACATAGGGTCAACTGATAGGTTGATTTTGCCTATGAATCATTTTCTCAGACGCGTTTATTTACTGAAAGCTACTAAAGGTAATTAAGTTTATTAAATGCATTCACAATATGTAGGCTACACATTTATTATTGATCTTATGCCTAATACAGGGCCGTAGACAGGGCTTTATAATCACAGAGGTCCTAAATTTGAGATTGGTAGGGGGTTCAAATTTTTTATTTCTGATATGTGCATTTCAAGACGTTTGAAGACCAAAAAAAAGGATAAGAAATAGCTTTAAAACCATGTCAGTGGGCAGATTATTTGTCAATTCCTCCTCTCTTCTCATCTCCATCACTCTTCCTTTTTTTCTCAGTCTCTTCCTCCCTTTCTCTTCCCCTCCTAAAGCTGAGCTTTTTTAATTTACTAAAGGCTACAATTTGTATTATATTCTCAATATGTACACATTCATTATTAATCTTGTGCCTAACATGATGAAAACTAATTTGTTAATGTTTCTTGTAAACTAATTATTACATTACATGAGTTACATGAGTGTATAGGCCTATTTTCAGTTCAAAATGGCGAAATTAGACAAAACTATATTAGTTTGCCTGATTATTTTTTGTCATTCGTTTAACATTTATGACCTAAAAAAAGTAAAATATGAAATGTTAAGTTTAGCTACTTACATCTTATCTCGCACTTGACCGTACGCGTCGAGTCCATAGACTGTAAAACATGGTCGTGTCGCACTGTTAAAATTCGCGCTCAGCAGCGTCTGTGAACATAAAGCCCGCCTACTTTGATTTGATTGGTCGTCTCTGACATTGACGAGCAGTGACAGACCAATGAGGCTCAGATGAACACAAATGAACACACACACCCTGTCCTCTGTTTCTGACGTGCTCTCTGCACGGCGCAGCTGTGGATTGAGAACGTGCTGAATCTGATTATAACAAGACTGAAGCGAACACGAATTTGTGTAGCCTACATTAATCTCACATTTTTAGGGGGGCTTGGCAGAAGTTTAGGGGGGCTGAAGCCCCCCTAAAAAGGGCCTAGTGACGCCCCTGCTACACGACTTTTAAAATCTGAACAGATTTTAAGATGACCTATTTTGATATCCTCTGACTGGATGGAATCATAATCTGAAGCTAAAAAATCAGAGTCTGTGCCCATCGTACACTATGCAATTTTCTGTGAAATCTGTCAACTCAGACTGCCCAAAATCTGCAAACTGGCACAGATTTTTGGCAACTATTGTCTACTCGTCCTGACTGCAAAAAATCTGAACAACAGCCATGTAGTGTGCTCTAGCCCTAAGATAAAATAAATCTAATTCAGTTTGTCATTGCAGATGATGGTGGAGAGTCTGAAGGCAGAGAACGACCAGCTGAAAACAGGAAGTGCTCCGTCGTCCCTAGTCCTCCCTAGCGGCCCACCTTCTACTTCCACCTCCCAGCCCTCTGGCCTCGCCAGCCTCCTGAACTCCAACCAAAGCAAACCACCCATGAGCCTCACCAAGTCCTTCAGCCTCAGCCTCAATGAGTGCTCCAACCCTGGTGAGTTCGCTAGTTATGCCATCTGATATTTTGGGGCACTTTAAAGTGAAAGCTTGCTTCTCATATCTAACCTAGGCAGATTGAGTCAAATCATTCTTTCTATCTCGCAGAAGTTGCTCCTATGGAGTTACTGAGCCTGTCATCTCAGAGGGACGAGGACTTTACACGCGTTGTGGTCCGTATTGCTGACCAGCAAGTGCCCAGAGAGGTGAATACATGAAAACATGTTTTAAAATGCTTTATACATGAATATTAGATCATATTGCCTAAATGTTCAATGTGATGTACAATCAGGAGGTGAGGCAGCAGGATTTCTACATCGGCTCAGTGAGAATTAATGGGAAAACTGAGTGGTCGACGTTAGACACAGATATTTCCACAGCTTTCAGGGTGAGAGCTCGTTCTGTAGCATATACATTTTTAAATATATGCAAAGATGATTCAGTATGCAAAAAATACCATAAATTTGCTGTTGATATTTAATGGTAAACATATTGTTCTGCTTATAATGTTTTTTTTTTTTTTTTCATACATTAGGATTACATTTCCCTGGTGGATCCCAGTACAAGTATGGGACTGTCTGTCGACTCTATCCACAGTTACGCTATTAATCAGAGCAGGAGAGTGCTTGGAGCCGAGGCTCCTGAAAGTTCACCCTGTGACTGTTTAAAAAAGGGTCCTGGACTCGTCACTGTCACCCTCAAAGGTAAAAAAACTCACAATTTCAAACTCTGACACTCTCCATCCACCTTTTTAACACCTCATTTCGGCACAACGTGGTGTTTCAAGCGTCAAAAGCTGTGTTAGTTGACAAAATCACAGGCTTCAGTACCATTAAAGTTAATCGTTTACTTCAGACATGCTGTTAACTCTTTCCTCGCCATTGACACAAATTTCCAGCTTTCTGTGCGTTCACTGTTATACGGTAGGGGGCGCTATGAGACATCTTCTGAAAGAGTACAAAATCTCCTGATCAAAAGAAACAGAAAAAAGTGATAGCATATGAGACCAGATGCATATGTAAAAACACGATCATCAACATTTAACAGCATATAAATCAAAACTGCCTAATGTTACAGAATAAAATGACGACCCAGGACGAGCTACAGGACTGTGAAGCTTTGGGTGTTGATGAACTCGATCTACTCCATCTGTGTCTTGATCATCATTCTGAATCCCATCCTGACGTAGTCTGAAAAAAAAAAACAGTATGAAAAAAAAAAAAGAATGCTTTAAGCTTGAATAAAACTTTTTTTTTTTAAATTAAGGCTGAAGTTCATTTATTTCTTTTTATATATTGCATGTTCAGATATTCATGCAACAAAATTTAAATTTTGTTAGAATGATCAAACATTTTGGTGGTGGCTGGCAACTTTTTTCAAAAACGCTGGTTGGGAAATAATTAATTATAATATTAATTAATTTAACTGTTCAGCAAATGTTTTTTTAAGAGATATTCTATTGATGATCATTTACCTGCAAACCAAATGCTAGCATTACCATTTTGTGAGCTATGTGGAGCAAGATTGTGGACCAATGAGAATTCACTGTGGGCGGAGCTACCCAGTTTCTAAAATAGAAACCAATAAACAGGAAAAATATCTTGACATTGACACTGTTGACAGTCATGGCTGATATGGCTGTTTCTGTCTACTAGATGTTTCTCCTTCCTGTTTTAATAGTTTGTGTCTTTAGTTCTTTAGAGCTCTTTGGCACTTCTAACTGACCTCTGATTCAAAATATTGCTGTTTGTTCCAGGTGTTGAGGATAAATGTGTGGATAGTCTGGTTTTCGAGACGCTCATCCCCAAGCCAATGATGCAACACTACATTAGTCTGCTTCTGAAGCACCGGCGGCTGGTCCTGTCGGGCCCCAGTGGCACAGGGAAGACCTATCTCACCACCCGTCTGACTGAGTACCTGCTGGAGAGGAGCGGCCGGGACCCCAGCCCGGGCCTTATCACCACCTTCAACATGCACCAACAGACCTACAAGGTGAAACCTGGAAATCTCACTTTCAGACAAACTGAGCTCTTTCCCCACGGATTTGTGTTGCAAGCAGTTGTAAAGCCTCGCTTTGGTCTTCTCTCCCTCAGGACCTCCAGTTGTACCTGTCTAATCTGGCCAATCAGATTGACCGTGATTGTGGCACTGAGGACATTCCATTGGTCATTATCTTGGATGATATCAGTGATGGGTCCTCCATCACCGATCTGGTCAATAGTGCGCTGACCTGCAAATATCACAAATGGTGAGTAAGGAAAATCCTTTAAGGAAGCGGTAGTGATAAGGGAGAATCTCTCAAAAATCATGATCTTAATTCAAGGCGAATAAAATATTAAATCTAATTTTGGGATGAAATATGACCTGGACTTGTTCCTGACAGGCTTTGTAAGATTCACTCTTTTACAAGACAATTTTGGAATTTGAAACTTTTTTTAAAGTATTTTCCTTGGATATTTATTTCAGCCCGTATGTCATTGGAACCACCAATCAATCTGTTAAGATGTCGTCAAATCATGGCCTGCATCTCAGTTTTAGGTAAGTTCCTCATTTCTTTAGCACTGTTTCATTCCAGTTTGTAGATTGTAGTAACGTCAAGTAAAACCTAATACAATTGTACCTGATCTTACAATAACATCCTCATAAAGAAATTTGAAATACCAAATCAATATTCCAAATGTGCTTCATTTGTGATTTTTTCCATTCGTCTGAAGAATGATCACCTTCTCTAACAACGTGGAGCCTGCAAATGGGTTCCTGGTGCGGTACTTGCACCGGAAATTGGTCGAGACGGAGGATGACAGCGCGGTTCAAAGCGCTGAGGTCCTGAGGGTCCTGGACTGGGTGCCTAAACTCTGGTACCATCTCCATACATTCCTGGAGAAACACAGCACCTCAGACTTCCTCATAGGTACAGCTTTAAACGTTCTGCATTTCACGAGTTCACACTTACAAATAAGTCAAGATAGAATAAATGCGTATTTGGCGTGCTGTCCGAGGAGAGGGCTCCGAGTTAGGTATTCGGCCCGAACCCAGAGCACTCCCCCCGTATTCCTGGCTGTGAAATAAATAAATAAGATAAGCCAAGAGTGAGGAGTCGGGGTGGTGGAGGGATGCTGAAACTGTCAAGGAATGTTAGGTGAGTTGACAGAGTGAATATTTATATGCTCCTTCTCGTGCTGATAGGGAAGACATGGTAATTGTTTGATGACCAGTTGATTGGAATGATTATTTGAACGTGCTCCTCCCGAACTTTGTTTATAAAACATCATATCTGATTACAAATTTAATGAAAAACATTATTTAACCATTTATATTTTGTGGTGGAGATATAATATTAGCAAATTCATCTGTACCACGCACTACCTTTTAAAGGTCATGGTTTAGATTTAGCACAGATCAAAGCCAAGTTTCCAAAAAAGATCTTAGCTATGGCTCTTGTCTCCGCAGGTCCCTGCTTCTTCCTGTCTTGTCCAGTAACTTTAGCAGAGTTTCGCACCTGGTTTATTGACCTCTGGAACCAGTCCATTATTCCTTATCTTCAGGAGGGAGCTAAGGATGGTGTGAAGGTAAGCTATTGTTCACATAGGCCAGCGTTTTCCAACCCTGTACTTGGAGGTTCCCCAACAGTACACATTTTGGATGTCTGTCTTATCTGAACAGTCCATTTCAGGCCTCTTCTAGTGAGTTGATTCAGGTGTGTTTGATTAGGAAGAGTTTACAAATGTTTACTTTTCTTGTACCTAAAGAAAAAGGATAAGAAAACAATGACATAGGAAACTAACTACTAAGCAGGGTGTCTAATCCTGCTCCAGGAGGGCCACTATCCAGCAGAGTTTAGCTCCAACCCTATTAAAACACCTGAACCAGCTAATTAAGGTCTTCAGGATCATTCAAAACGTCCAGGCATGTGTTTTGGAGATAAACTCTGCTGTAAGGTGGTCCTCCTCATAAGTGACTGTAGTGAAACACACTTCATAGGAAGCAACTTTCTTAAAGGTGCAGTAAGCAATTTCTGAGAAATGCTGTTGATATTTGAAATCACCAAATCAAACACACCCCTACCCAAAAGGATCACACCCCTATCTTGATAGCCCCGCTCCCAAAATCCCAAAAAAAGACTTTTAAGCCGCGAAAGAGATACTGTTTCCTAGGCGGCCTCCTGTGCGTGCGCTCTGAGTCCGAGACGGGGCGGAACGTGCATAGGCAAAGTAGACAGGGGCTCATATCATGAAATAAGACTGATCATATCACCCACCTATAATCTTGTTGAATAATCGTGATTTCAATATTGAGCAAAATATTTTTTTGCCATAATCCAGCATCCCTACTGCTTAGACTAGTTTGTTGGTTGTAGCTGTTGTGCTAGCCTGGTCAAGCCTGGGCTAACTGTTTTACAGGGTTTTTAGATCAATAAACCACTTCGGGCTGGTTTAAGAGTTTATTCTACCTTAAAATTGGGCCAAAATGAGGCAGCTCACTACGATTAAGAACAGAGCTTATCTGCTGCTATAACAGTTGTTTTTTTTCTGTGAATCAAATTACACTTTTAATGTTATTGTGTTGAGTCAAAGTGTAGTGGAGTCTTGGAGCTCAATCTCTGCATTCATATATATTTTAGGTCCATGGTCAGAAAGCAGCTTGGGAGGATCCAGTGGAGTGGGTGAGGGATACACTGCCCTGGCCTTCAGCTCAACAGGACCAGGCCAAACTCTTTCACCTCCCTCCACCAACCAACGGCCCCAACTCTGCTTCAACACTCCAGCAGACCAGCGACGACAGGTCCAAAAAGGACACGTCCCTTCCCACCATGGAGTCCGATCCACTGGTGAGTGTCCAGTACATCTATCCCTGACCCTGTGTAAACAGTGGTGCAAGTTTTCTGACAAGGTGTCCTTGTTCTGTCCCTCATTCAGATGGCGATGCTGCTGAAACTCCAGGAGTCTGCCAACTACATTGAATCGCCGGAACGGGACATTTCAGGCAACCCCACATTCTAGGTCGTTGAGCTAAAAGACTTGAGAGCTCGCTAATGGCTAGTGCTGTTTCAAAACACTGTTCTGTACAGCCTATTTTGCACCTCCTTTTTCCTTCAAAAGGTTTGAGAGAGTCGAGGAAGAGGAACTCTCAAGAACATCCAGGTCAAGGCAGACAAAACTCTCAGCCTGAAAGTAAAACAGAAAAACTGATCCTGCCAGATCTGAGCGAGAATCCTTTTTGCACTGTTGTCTTAACCGGTCCTTCCTTTGCTTATCTAACCTGCAAGTTGCATGGCAATACTTGCAACTGAGGATTGTGAAGATTTTGGATGATTGTGAAGATGAGATGTTCTTGTCTACCGTACTGGGAACAAAATGTGCTTCATATTTGTTTGATTTGACTTTTGTTTTAGGTAATATCTGTCCATTTGGACCAAAAATCTATTTATTCTTATTTGCAAGAGTACCGACACTCCATCCTCAAAATCAAGTCGCCTGAACCCTGTACACAAAGGTGCGGTTACATTTAGACCAACTCGCATGGATGCAAAATATAATGTACAAGATGGTGCTTAGAATTCAGCCTTAACTGATGTCCCTCCATATATCATGAAGTCAGTTTCATAGCAAATGGAAAAAAACTCTTTATTACCTCAGTTTGCATAGTGATGCAGTTTCAAGGTGCAGTACATACCCGTAACCACGTTGCTTTTATTCCTATCAAACATGCAGACATGAAGGAGACAGATGTAGACTGTAGATCTCTGAGATGATGCACTTTGATTTGTAGCTTTCAAGCAAGAGCACTGACTGTTTGTTTAAAACTCGAGGGCCGTTCACTCTGACGGTGATTTGCAGCGACAAAGCAACCAGAACTTATGTGCTTTCAATGAGGGTTGAAGGCGGCATGAGCGACAGAGACTGTTGGCGATGGGCAAAGTTTAACTATATGCAAATTTGACATTACCAATGGGAGAGTAGACAGTGAAGCTCATGCATTCTGCTGCTTGATATTGTTGGTTATTCATTGTCTACGAAAGTTGCTGAATTTTGACGGCACTTGGATATGCAGCAAAAGCAGTGGGGCTCATGTGATCCACCGCCTGATACAGTTGGGGGCAACCTCAGGTGATTTAATCGCTAGCAGTGATAACAGGTGCTTTTACCGGTGCATGGGAGCAGTATGCAACTTCTTACTTTCAGTAATCATGTATTTGACCTTCAGGCCTGGGTATACTTCATTTTCGACGTTAAGCTCAGTCTCACGCACAGCCCAGACGGCAACATAGTGTCGGCCCAGATCAGGCCCACATCTGGTATATGGGGGGGGGGGGGCACGGACGTTGTGCATGGACTATGGTGATTGTGACCCAAGCTGGAGCAGAACGTAGACAAGGGAAGTATACTTTTGGCTTTAGTTCCAATAGCCAAGGTGCTCATGGATCATCAAGATAATCGAAGGCTTTGTTCTCACTGACACCACAAACCCGATTCGCTTGTGCCGAACATTTGTGAAATATCACCAAAAATGCATTTAATACCAGGTGGAAACAAGTCTGTAGATGTACTGGATATTGACTCCACTGCCTAAACATACGAAACCAAATAAAATGGGTCTAGATTGCGTTTGAAAACAAATCAGGATTGTTTGCAGTGTGAACAAAGCCAAAATGGTTTAAACAACTTATTTTGTCTGGAGGAGGTGCAGTAATTTGATATTTTTGGGCTTTTGTTATGTCTTGAGGTTCAAAGCAAAATAACATCAGTGTTAGCTTACGGTTTTACACACGCTTGTGTCCTTTGCTCTTCTGTAACAATGTAGCCAGTTTTTGGATAATAATTGGGTTTTATTTATGGTGGCTTCAAGTCACGGGACGGCCCCATGCCAGTGTCTTTTATAGCCCCCTAATCATTCCAGTAATACTTAACTGTAATAATTACGAAATCTCAAAAAACACAAAAAAAAATAATAATGGTGGATTGTAACTTATGAATGCGTTTGCTATTGGCTGATTACAAGTGCTGCAGAGCTGTATGTGCATGAAAGCTTTAACTTTGAGGAAGATTATAGTTAAAAAAGGCACCTTATCATGAGATGCCAAAGGATGTGTTGGCAACCACAGTCTACAAGAGAAACGTGGTATTTTCACTAAATTATTATGACCTAATTGAAACGTGTACTAACCGGTCTTAGTACTAGCAGTATAGCAATGTCAGATGAAACGCGTGCCGTTGTAATCGCAGAATGTAAATTGGATCAAAACATCAGTTTGCCAACACACCTAGTGCTCTCGATGATGCTTGCTGAATCGTGTGCTTGTGTTTACGTGTCCTGTTAATATCAGACGTAGCTCTCCAAATGAATAACCACAGGAGTGTTTTTTAAAGGTCTTTTTTTTGTACGTTTTTTTACTAAAGGATCTTAGTCTGACATTTGTAAATAGGATTTTCAAAAAATGACCAAAAAAAAAAATGCAAACAAAAAACCGTCTATGGTAGAATAAACATCGGAAGGATGAAATATAACACCTATGAACTGAATGTGTCTGGTTAGATTTACATTACAGCGAGGATCGCAGTCATCTCTCAGTTATTGCCTTTCCTATAGGGCCATGTTAAGGAACTAGATCATGTTGCCTGTGTACATTTTTCACTATAAAAGTGTCCTCTTTATTCTCTTCCGGGTCGTACAAGGTATAGAATAGCTTTTACGATTAGTTGGTCTCAACAACCCATAAAAAAAAAAAAAAGTGACAGTGGTGAGAAGTGAAGCAAATCACACAAGTACCTCAAAAACTGTCTTAACAGCTCATTGTAGGATCAAAAAACTTCCCTTAATAGCTTATGGATAGTTTGGGGCTTTGGGGAAGATTCCCCGTCGTTTGTCTTGAAAATGTGCCTAATATAAGCCAACTCGTTGGACATTGCAATACCTAAACTATTATGTTTTGCAAGGGATTGTTTGCTGCGGGGGGACAGGAATGCGAGCAAACGTGCTATCCTTTTTTTATGCTAGCTTATAAAATGACTTTGAGATTTGAGCTCGCAGGGAGTCTCGTTTCCAAATGTTCTGGAAATCGCACAAACCGAAGCCATTTCCCACGGTCTCTTCTCCTGTCACAGATATATTTGCATCGTAGAACAGTGTGCTTTATCATATCTTGCATAACAGATATAGTTTGGACAACTTAAAATAGAGTGTCTAACTATGTATTGATTAATTTATTCGTTATTTTTGGTGGTTTATGAATAACAACGCTGAATGTTCAAGCAGGCACAATAATAAACCTGTGGTTTAGCTCTTTTTTTCCCCCCACTTGTTTTATATTAAACATGCTATACAAGGTTTGATGTTGTTTAATCAAAACAGATTGATGATTTGTCACTATGCAGCGTTGGAATATAATTTTAGGCTGAGACTGAGTTCAGTTGTCAGTACCAATGACAGATAACAATGGTATATGTGATAAGCTATAATGTGCAGGTTTGATGGTGTTTTAATGTCGGTGATGTCTATCACCATTGGTTTTTTTCTGGAAAAAACACATTGGACCTACCTGTCCCACTGGGATTTCAAACAAAACTGTTTTTCTTTTTTTTCTTTTTCTTTTTTTTTTTTTTTTTTAAGAAATGGATCTTGCTTTCTCTTTAATAAATATTTCTATTTTGTATAGAACATTGCAATTGTAAACATTGTAAATAGTAAACTCATCTGCGACCACAATCACAGTAAGATATGAAAAATCCGGCCATAGGATGAGACACCTTTTGTTATTGTTGTCTTTTATCATTATTTTTTTTGCGAACTGTCTGCTGGAAAGGGGTTATAAAGGCATATGTGCTGATCTGAGAGAATTGAATCCATCAAATATTCACTCACGCTTTCAATAAACTTGTGCCATCCCTACACTAAGATGTCTCTTTCACTGGTCTCGTACACTCATTTCAGTTTAAAAAAAAAATTTACATTAATGAAATTGAACATCTGTTTTGTATTTTTGAACACTACACAACTTGGTAATACTTCAGTATAGGTGAAAAGCTTAATAACTACCTAATATTGACTGAAGTCATTGTAAGCTTTTAAAGTTTTTGTAAGGTTTTAGATGGTAATGACTCAAATGTTACTACATCTTTCTAAAGGAACTACTAATTATTTGGATCAGTATTCTAAAGTGAAGATCATGGGAACACACTAGTAATGACTAAAGTGTTAATGCTTGTTGAGGTTTGTCTCCCTCTACCATCTTAATTTTGTAACTGCTGTATGGACCCCACGTTGCAGTTACACTTTTAGACAAGCGAGGGCACCAAATGTCAATACGTAGGATTAAATTCAAGACATTAAATATTAAAAATGAGAATGGTCAAGTAAAACAAGAGTGAGAAATAATTGGACTCTAGGCACGAAAGCTACATGATACTGAGTCAACCAATTACTATGAATAACTTTAATGAGGTGAGACCAGTTTAGGGTTATTCCTGAGTTGATAAGAACAGATTTATCTGTGTACTGGAGGCTATTTAAAGAAGAGGAGGAGTCCCGAAGGTTCATACTCAGAGGTGGTATAAATTGAACGTCCCAAAAGACGTTGCCATTTCAAAGACCGGCAGTCCTGTTGAGTTTGTCCCAAGCATCATGCCAGCCAAACCAGCACCTATAAAGAAGTCAGCCAAGAAGGCTGCTGCAAAAGAGGAGAAGCCGGCAGAGCCTGTGCCCGAGACTGTCCCGGCTGAGGCGCTTCCTGTGCCCGAGACTGTCCCGGCTGAAGCAGGACCGGTAGAAGCTCCAGCTGAAGAGGCAGTGGCCGAACCTGCCCCCGCTGAAGAGGCACCTGCTCCTGAAGGTACTCAATTTACAAGTGTAATAACCGTAATAACGACATCTCAATTAAAAGACAAATTCTTCAGATTATTTTAGTAATATATAACAACATAGCGAAATGGTATGACAACAGCATAGTAGTCATACTGTAAAATTGATACTCACGTTAAGTCATGTTTATAATTGCCGGCTGTGTTCATCGACGTCTGTCAGCTGTCTTGCAATGAAAGAATGAATGTATCATCTGTACTTTCGAGGACTCACTCACGCCCCCTACTGAACAACATCATAGTTGGCCTACTACAGTTATTGCTACTACTGTAAAATAATAATAAATATAAATTAATAAAATAATTTAATAAAATAAGTATTTATCCATTTTGCCGATATTTATTTATCTACAGTGGCGGCTAATACCAAGTTACTAAAGTTACTGTAGTAAAACTCTGATGTTTTGGCAAGGTTAGAATGATTCAAATATGTCCCCTTGTTCAACTGTTTTATTGATTTAGGAAAAGGGAATTGTCATTGTGAACATCCACAAACTGCTAGAAGATGACTTCTGTCTTGGGTGTTGACTTTACAATCATGACTTTTACAGAATAGAAACTTAAAAACTTCCAATGTTCATGCAGGAGATTTAAAAAGATAATGTATTTTAAGAGAATCCAACCTGAGCTATCGAAAGACCGAACTGTCACAAAACGAAATATTCTAATTAGAAATTTCCCTGATATGTGTCCAAGCCTAGACGTCTCTTATAAACATGCACCTGTCAATCATTGGACTTTGTCCTACAGAAGCGTTCTAATTTATGACTACCTATCCACTAACGTGTGCCTAATATATTCTAACATTTATTTAACATGTAACGCTAGACTCGACCCCCTGCTGCTCAGGGTTAGACTCCTGCCCCTTGAGATGGGACATAGCGTATAGGGTAATGCTATAACAAATACACTGCTGATTATTACTGCCCTGTCATATTTACTTCGCTTTTGCATTGTAAATAGCATTATATAAGCTTCTCAATGTTCAAATCATGTTTCATTTTCAGTTTTCAAATTTTAAGTGGCGTTAACCTGCATCTTAGGGTCAAAACGGGTTCCCCTTACCTGTAGTTACGTCTATAGTAAACTGGCCTGCTGTGCTGAGTGCAAAAACTACTAATCACCAACCGTGTGTGTGGTCAAATCAAGATTAGCTTGTGGTGGAAGAGTGTGTCTCACTACATGCTGATATGGCATGACTTTTCACCTGCATTTTCTTGAATATCAGTTGCTGTGACTACTTCATGAGGCAATATATAAGTCTATTTATCTGCTGAAGTTTCTGTTGCAGAATAAGGTGCTATTCTTGCAACTGTTGCTCCATGACGCTAAACTACCATTAAAAAAAGGACTGTTTATTCAAAACGGTATCTAGTTATCTCTCCTGAGTAGCACTGCTCTAATGGAAGTCTAATGATTTGCTATTAGGCCCTGCTGATGAAGCTGCTCCTTCCACTAACGCTCCAGCTGAGGGTAAATAATTGTGCTTTTGTTATCATTTTTAATTGTTCGATTTCAGTTTGGATCCTGACACTGTAATTTGACTTGTACCCTTTAGAAAATGACAATTCATAAGGCTAGAGTTCATTCTCAGTCGTATTCAGTCTCAAATGTGTTGTGTTATGATTTTATCGACATATGGGCAGGACAATCCATGACGCATTTGAATAAATATAACTCTGAATCTGAATAATCCTGTATATTTGATCATCAGCGGCTCCTGCTGAAGGTGCACCTGTAGAAGAGCCACCTAAACCACCAACACCACCTCCTCCAGCAGGTAATCCATCCAACCACCCAATCCCTCCATCCATCAATACAACTAATCTATCCATTCACCCAATCCATCCATCCATTCATCCATCCATCCATCTATCCATCAATACAACTAATCTATACATTCACCCAATCCATCCATCCATTCACCCAATCCATCGATCCATTCACCCAATCTATCTATCTATCTATCTATCTATCTATCTATCTATCTATCTATCTATCTATCTATCTATCTATCTATCTATCTATCTATCTATCTATCTATCTATCTATCTATCTATCTATCTATCTATCTATCTATCTATCTATCTATCTATCTATCTATCTATCTATCTATCTATAAATCCAATGGACCCCATCCATCCTTCCATATCCATCCATCCATCTATCCAATGGACCCCATCCACCCACCCAATCAATCTATCCATTCATCCACATATACAATAAATCCCATCCATCCAGCTAATCAATCCAATCCATCTGCCCATGTATCCATCCAAACCATCCTCCCAATCCATAAATCCACCCAATAAATCCACCCAATTCATAAATCCACCTAATCCATCTACCAAATCCATCCATCCATCCATCCATCCATCCATCCGACCTAATAATCAATCCAATCCATCCATCCTTCCATCCATTCAATCAGTTAATCGCCAAATTCAACCATCCACCCATTTATCCATCCACCTAATCCATCCTTCCATCCATTTAATCAGTTAATTTACCAAATTCAACCATCCACCCATTTATCCATCAAAGCCATCAACCTAATCCATCCATCCATCCATCTCTATAAAAGTTCATGTGTTTTTCTACTATGAATTGATTGTTTTTATGTCTCTTATGAATGTGCAGTGCCCTCCAGTGCCCCTCAGAACCTCAGCGTGGATGATGTCAATGATACCTCAGTCACTCTTAAGTGGAGATCCCCGGAGAACATTGGCTCTGGACTGGATGGATACATTGTAGAATACTGCAAGGAAGGATGTGTGTATATCCTCTCAGTATTGCTGATAAGCTCTTTAGATTAGGGATAGTGTTTCAATCATCATGCCTTCATCTTGAAATTGAACCATGTAGAACTATTAGATGTCACAAGAAAAGTGAGTTCAGTCTGCTATAGCACCTGTCTTTAAAATGTCACCACAGACTGATTTATAGCTCGCCCCTGTAAGTCTCCCTATTAGGAAGGGATGCTTTCAACCAACTGTCACCGTATCTGCACATCCCACATTTAGATTTGTGGATCTATACTGACATCACTGCTAGTGTGTTTGGAAATTCATATTTGTTCTTTAACTGGGTAGTTGACGCATAACATCAATATTTTAGGTTTTTATATTTTTGTTTATGAATGTAAAATCAAACGTTTGAGAATGTAATGTTTGATATTTAATCACCTTCTTGTCTTCACAAATTGATTTTACATGGTCATGTGGTGCGACCAATTCTTAAATTGATTTTAAATTAATTAAAATGCTAAAACTTTTATGATTGTACTTTTAAAAACTATTGTTTTAGTTGTACATGGAATATCATGCGAACTTTCCAAAAGTTTTTCATGTCAAACTGCCGTTAAATCTACCCCAATTTTATATAAAACTAAAGTATTTAATAAATTATTTAACGTTTTTTTTGTGAAATTTAATGAAGTTATACATCATCTATCCATTTTTACACTCTACAGCTTCTGAATGGGCTGCCAATACCGAACTCACCACGTCCAATCGGTTTGTCATCAGCGGCCTGACAACCGGAGACCTACTTAACATCCGTGTCGTGGCCATGAATGCCGGAGGCCGTAGCGAGCCCGTCATCCTGCCACAGCCCGTCCCTGTCCGTGAGATTATGGGTGAGTGTCTATGCATGTCTGAAAAGACCCACATGTGTAGGGGACAGATGAAAGTGACGAGTCATCTCTGGTTACTTCACAGAGTCTGATTACTTCAAACACTAATTACTTCATAGTGCTATACTTTTTCAGTGTATTCTCTGAGCCCTGGCTCATGTGGCTTACTGCCGAAGCTCAGATGACAGTGTGTGTTTCCCTACAGTGAGAAGAGCTGGTGTAAGTGCACTGCCTCAGCTTTTAGCTACCTCTCTTGCCCTCAATGGATTCAACAGCTGTGGGTATATAAATCCCATTGGCTTGCGCCGACAAGAGCTTTCATTAGCATTTAAATTACAAACATAAAGACCTAGGGCTGTCAGTGCAATCTGAGCTAAACACATACGGTATATTATCCTCCTAAATTGAGTGTAGTACTTGCATAATGGTGTATATTTAATGATTGTATTTTATCTAGCTAAAGGATTGTATGAACTGCTTTCATTGCTGGGGCAGTGTTTATATTCAGGGCTTGGTTCTTTGCCCTTGCACTTGACCACTTCCATTGGTGGAGCTTGACCTTGAATCATTGGGCCAGATTTACTAACAGCCAGCGTCAGTGCAAACCCTCTTTTGGGGTTAGAAAAACTACTGACAGGATTTACAAAAGACTCACTGTCAGTGTTGCCAAGTCGGTGGTTTTCCCGTGGAATTGGGCTACTTTTAAGTGTTGAATTTCTTTTCCTGCTGGTTGATTTCCAACCCCCCGGAACGTACAATTTTGGACAACCCCCCTTCAAATTCCGTAGTGAACACTGCATTTGGATATTTTGGGGCTACTTTTGGATTGGCCATTGGGCTAGTTTGGTTGCACAGACCGGGCAACCCTGTACACAGTAAGAAAAAAACTTTAATATTGAACAGATTTTTTATTTTATTTGTTACTTTTATTTATGAAATGTGTAATTGCTCAGACAATTCGATATCAATTATTTCGATACAGACATCAGAAATAGCCAGGATCGCTGATAAGAGAGGACACCTCAGACAAATATTCAGGGCCTGGGGTTGAGGGGGGGCAGTAAGAGATTTACAGATCTGGCTTTCCAGGTTGACATGGCCAGCTAGTGGCCGTTGTGTTTTGGCTTAATTCTGTGTGTTTTGAACTGTTATTTGTTTTGTAAAGTACATCACCGTAATGCTACGGCCATTTTAACCAAGCAATCAAAAACCCACATAAGATTCACAAATCAACTCATGTTGTTAATAGGTCAAACAATCCTGACCAAAAAGAGATATGGAGGCATGTTGGCTTGGAGAACCAAACGGGAACGATCTGTTCATCCATTTGGGTTTAGCAGGTGAATGTTGTGGTGTGTGGCAGCCATTCAAGACATCACACAGGATTACATATCCGAACATGGACTGCAAAAAGGGATAGAAGAAGCAGGATTAGGTTTACAAGCACATGTACAAGCACAGGCATTTGAGAAATTAGGTCAGGTATGGTAAAGTAAGCCGGAGGTGAGCTGCATGTGAACCTTCAAAGCCAACTGTGCCGTCCCACAGTGCCACCCAAATCAAGCATTTTGTCAGCATGTCAGCTCAGCAATGTGTGTCGCTCCACAGGCGTCAATTGCTTCCTGTAATAATGATTGTACTTTGGAGTCCTGGGAAGTAAGGATTAGAGGTCTGGTGGGATAGATTTGGGAGGCTGTACCCTAATGGTAACAGATGTGCTCGGAGAGGACAGCTAATAGAGATTTAGATCAGAGAGGTCAAAGTACCTGGGTGCCACATTGTTGTCTAGAGCAGTGGTTCCCAAACTGGAGTATGTGAGGTGACAGAGAGGATACCTGAACAAAATGTTTTTGAAGGTTTTGCTGTTCATTTAATTCTACCCCACCTTAAAATAACATTAAAACAAAGCATGTATTGAACAGGCAAAATGCGGGTAAAAACAGAAAAATATTGTGCCGTAAAAGGTTGAATACATGACGTCCAATCAAATCATCTCATCTTTTGTGGCCAAAACTGATTGCATCCACATGAGCTGCGTCATAGGTTGTGTGCAGAGTACATTAGTGCAAGAATGCATGTTTTTTTCCCGAATATCTGCACAATTCCCAATGTGACATTGATTTTATACAACAGTTCAACAAACAAAAAGGTAATATTAGGTGATGTACATTTTAAATACCGTTTTGCCAGTATTATTTGCTCTATTTTACAATGAAGTCCGTTTCCACGCAACACAGCAGTGTTTCGTTAGTGAACGAATCTGCGGCTTTGAGCAAATCGTGAGAGTCAATGATTCAATGATATGTGCTGTAGAAATATGTGATATGTATGATTTAATAAACCTGCAAAGGAATAGCATATATAAAAATGATTGTGACAGACGTGAAGGGGGAGGAGAATTTATACGTGAGTCAGGTTTCTCGACAAGAAAGACTTCTGCAACATATACACCTGTGCATCCTCACTCATCGCTCCTCTGGAAGCTTCCTCGCTCCTCGTTCCCTGCCTCCTCGCGGTGCAATTAGAGAATTGAGATTCCTTCAAGATGGGTAACTTTAATTGGTTTCTGGGTAATGGGTTGGAGGACAGATGAGCGAGGAAACGAGGAAGCATCAATTTGAGTATTGAGAAGCAACCATTGAGGCATTCATTCATTTATTCAGTAAACAAGGCAAGGGTGCTTCTCAATACTCAAGTTGATACTTCCTCATTTCCTTGCTCCTCCGTCCTCCAACCCGTGACCCAGAAACCGATCGTACTCAGCCATCTTGAAGGACATCTCAATTCTCTAATTGCACAGCGAGGAACGAGGAGTGAGGAGGCTTCCTGAGGAGTCATGAATATATCCTTTCCTCGCATCCTAAGGGGGTGGAGCTAAGACACGAGGAAAGGAGGTGAGGAAAGGAAGCGAGGATGCACAATTAGGACATGAGAAGCACCCTCACTCATCCTGACTCACTCAGTAAGACAATAACTTACCGCCACCTACTGGTGGTTTTAGTTTAATATGTCAAAGTATCACTTTATTTTTACCACCACTTCATATTTCTCTATTGAACAGTTTTTATTTAAAACATTCTCATAACATTATTTATGCCATAATTACATTCAAGCCTCCGCTGAGCAGCATTAAACAGTGTGTAAATACATCTAGATGCAGTTTGTCCTTTAATCGTGTTAGAAAAACTCTGCCTTTAAAGAGTTAAAAAATGCACCTGAAAATCAATTTAAGGGGGGAAATATTGTCCCTTAAAAGGATACTCTACTGGTTTTTCATATTAAACTATGTTATTCCCTTAACTAAGACGAGTTGATATATACCTCTCTCGTCTCAGTGCGTGCACTACATCGCTGTCTTACGGCGAAACTTTGTTAGATCTTATCTCAGCCCTGTTCATTCAATACGTGCCAAGAAGAGAAGCGACCAAACACCTCCACGTTTTCCCTATTTAAATACAGTTACACGAGTAGTGTGACTCGACCTAGGATGGTGACACAAAATAAAACGTTGCGCTTTTCTAAGCGTGTGAAATGGATAACTATATTGTATGGCAGAATACCATAGCAAGTGCTTGGGAGCACTTCGACAGGCATCCTTGTTTCATTTATAAATTTAGTTGACATTTTCTTGTTTTGTTTCTTTTGAACATCATCCCTTCACATTAACGAAATGTGGTGTAGAAACAGAGCAACTAGTAATGAGGATGAGACTGGCCTGTAATATATAGGCTGTTGACCTGCAGACGGTCTGGAATTCCTCATAGATCTATTTCTGGATGCATTCCAGTGACCTAAGACACGGTGCCATGTGCTCTCACCAATATACAGTATAGCAAGAATAAACCTGTCGAAATGAACTTAATAATTAACCCATTTAAATAATTGTGTAAGCATTAAATATGTTTTATACTGTATATATCTATTGCCATTTTCAAATTTAAGAAAGTCAGTTTGTGTAATTAAACACTATGCATTTCAAAATAAGACCAATTTAATTTAATTGATTTTGTTTTGATTATTTTATTTAAAATACAAGCCAACAAAAACAGCTCAAAAGACCGTTTTAATCTAAATATGATTTCAAAAGACCCCCAAATAAATAATAAACACATCTAAAGTTGCTTTTGTGTTTTGTTTTTCAGATCGACCCAAGATCCGCATGCCCCGTGCCCTGAGGTCAAGACACGTCAAGCATGTTGGCGAACAGATCAATCTGGTTATCCCCTTCTGTGTAAGTTCAGAGTTGTATATGTATATACGTCAAACAGAGCCACGCTTATTGTATGCTCTAATATATTCGATAATTCTCCGTTTTGTAGGGCAAACCAAAACCTGTGATATCTTGGACCAAGGATGGCCAGCCTTTGGATACGAAGAAGATAAATATCCGCAACAGCGACAAGGATAGCATCCTGTTTATCCGCAAGGCTGAGCGAGACGACTCTGGCAGCTATGAGATGACCGTGAAGATCGACAGCTTCGAGGACAAGGCTACCCTCATAATTCAGATTGTCGGTGAGACATGCTATGATCTAGAGCTCATCTTGGACCTTGGCTATTTCTGTCCTCCTTGCATTTTCATTCTTAGTCCATTCCTTGACACCTCTGTTTACTGAGTGAGACCTCACAGTGTAAAATGATCCATACTTAGGAAGCTAAATCATTTTTAATGGTTGTATGTAGATCTGCCCGGTCCTCCTACATCTGTCAAGCTAGTCGACTCTTGGGGCTTCAATGCAGCTTTGGAATGGACCTCTCCCAAAGACAACGGCAACACTGAGATCACTGGATACACCATTCAGAAGGCTGACAAGAAAACTGGAGTAGGTAACTCATTATTGGCACATTAATAGAGTAATTAATAGAACAATGTGCCAGCACCTCGTCCATCAGTTCCGCTCTCAGAAAATGGACTACATTACTTCGCTATTTATCTAAGGAACAGTATTATTCGGGATAAGAAAAATTGCACTTTAATAAACTGTATGTTATCGAACATAACATGAAATTAAATGAAATGTAGCTAGTTTTAATCACATGAGATGTCTGCAGTCCTGTAGATCTGGGCTGTCCCACATCAGAGGTCATTTAGATGATCTTCCTCCTTAAAAACACATTCAAAGTAGAGTGTCATGAAACAGTTACATGTCAGCTTATCAACAACCTACACATCCTAGCAGAAACGCTCTTGATGAATGATTTGTTATTTAAGTGGCTATGTTCACAAACTACTATAATTAGAACAGAAAAGCAAGCATAGCCTACATGTATGCGTGATTTGACATGCCAGTTCGAATAATAAATAACCATTGCTTTACCTAAGTCAGCAAAACGTTTTCTTTAAATTCTGAATTGATTATATCGCCTAGAAAGCATGCAAAGTGCGTTCCTTTTATAATCACTACAAAGCTGTCACACATCTCAATTCATTGAGATCTCACAAAGCTCCACTAATCAATTAAGCTGACTACACAATTAATCTCTGATTTAGCCTACACAATTCAGACACTTTGTTAAGTTAACTTATTTATTTTTTTATTTTTTTATTTGGATCCCCATTAGCTTCCACAATGTGGTTGCTAGTCTTCCTGGGGCCCATAAAAGTACTGAAACATATGTACATTTAAAATGCACAAATATAACATACATAAATATAACATTCATATAACATTACCACATGTATACATTTATCCACATATCCACATTCACACTCATACAGCATTTGACAATATCAGTACCTATAAACAGATGTAAACTGATGTAATACTATTAATTGTAATCTGTTTTAGAGTCTTCTTAAAATTACAAATGTTGGATATATGCCTTGTTTTTAAATCCAATTTATTCCAAGCAGATGACGATCTAACTAATACTGTTCTTGCCATACAATTGGACCTTGCAGATGGAACCACTAACACACCTGAGCTCACCATGAATGAAATCGAATCCAATCCTATTGGCGTTGCGTGATGACGTAGCGTGTGACGGCATAAGGGGATGTATACAAAAGCACGCCGGCACACAGAAATGTCAGCTTTTTTCTATTCAGCAAGCGCTCTGTGTATGTGTGAAACAATCTGTCCTATTTGGTGTTGTATGTCCTGTTTAAGTCTGCATTGCAATACAGAATCTAGTAGCTCGGATCTCGCGTTTGCCGAGGCAACGCTTAGATTACGAGTGTACTTTGCAATAAGATTCTGTGTCTGGGATCTCGCGTTTGCCAAGGCAGCGCGTAGGTCTAGGTTTGCCTTGCAACACAGAATCTAGTAGCTCGGGTCTCGCGTTTGCCGAGGCAACGCTTAGATTACGAGTGTACTTTGCAATAATATTCTGTGTCTGGGATCTCGCGTTTGCTGAGGCAGCGCGTGGGTCTAAGGTTTGCCTTGCAATTCAGAATCTAGTAGCTCGGGTCTCGCGTTTGCCGAGGCAGCGCTTAGATTACGAGTGTACTTTGCAATAAGATTCTGTGGCTGGATCTCGCGTTTGCTGAGGCAGCACGTAGGTTTTAAGTTTGCCTTGCAATACAGAATCTAGTAGTTCGGATCTCGTGTTTGCCGAGGCAGCATGTAGGTTACGAGTCTACTTTGCAGCTTGCTGTGTGGGTGCGAGGCATGAACGATCAGCTCCTGAGGTTGCTGGCTGTGTTTATAAAAAAAAAAAAAAAACTCGCCACACACGTGCGTTTCGGGGTGTCTCAGCCTCGCGCCTGTTGACTTTCTTCTCGAGAGATCAAAGGCAAATTTAATGTGTATGACTCGAATCTCGCGTTTGCTAAGGCAGCGCGTTACGGGTCTGCAATAAAATGGACACACGTGATCTGATAATAATAATGTTGTCTTTCTTCTATGAAAGCCAAATTATAACGTCTCGAATCTCGCTTTTGCTGAGGCAGCGTGTAGGTTACGAGATCGTTAAATTAAATATAAAACAGTATTCTGGTGTTTTTTGGCTGCATTTATTTCCTACAGCCTACCATTCAGACCGTGTTTCACTTATCCAGTGGTATGGCTGCATTTAATTCCGAGGAGTAAAAGCAATTAAAAGTCGTATCTGACTTTAAAACTTGGTTAGATATTTTAATTCAGCCTACCATCTGAAGAGTATCGCTCTAGAGGTCCCCCTTAGGAAATATATATATATATATATTTATATATATATTAATATCTGAGCTTGGGACTCTAGGCGGTGCTCTTGCCCAGAGCCTCCTGAGAAGATGGATCTGAGGACTGTCCTTCAGGCCGGAAGGCGTCGGGAGAAAGACCTTGGAGGGACTGTCCCCCCGAAAGAGAGTGATCAAGATCCCCTCTCTCACAAGACACTTGAAACCAGCCCTGAGGGGGCTGGTTCCCTTGCTGGATTTTGTTGAGGCATGGGTCCTGCGCACTGTAGGAATTGGATACAGGCTGCGGTTCCGGATCCGCCCACCAAGGTAAATATCAACGGGGTGGTTTGGACTGCAGTAGATCCACAGCAGGGTCTGGTGTTGGAACAGGAAGCTCACTCGCTGCTGGAAAATGGGGCTATAAAGGTGTTCCCCCACCAGACAGGGGGTCCGGGTTCTACAGCCGGTACGTCATAGTTCCAAAGAAGGATGGAGGGTTGCGTCCATTTTAGATCTGAGGCTTCTGAACCAGTCTCTGAGGAGATTCAGGTTCAAGATGCTCACTATTATCATTGTGAGTCAAATCCAATCCGAGGATTGGTTTGTCACGATAGATCTAAAGGACGCCTACTTTCACATCTTCATCCTTCCATCTCACAGGAAGTTCCTGAGGTTCGCTTTCGGGGGCGAAGCTTACCAATATCGGGTTCTTCCATTCGGCCTCACCCGCCCAACGAACTACGTTCTTGGGGGTGGTATGGGACTCAACGACGATGCAGGCACACATGTCTCCTGCACGCATCGAGTCCATATTAACCACACTAACCAGGGTGAAGCTAGGCCACACCATCACAGTAAAACACTTCCAGAGGGTGTTGGGTCTCATGGCAGCAGCGTTCAGCGTCACACCTTCTGGCCTGCTACACATGAGAGCCCTGTAGTGGGGGTTGAAAGCCAAGGGGTTTTCCCCGAGGGGAAATCCGTTCCGCTTGATAAGGGTTACGCGCAGGTGCCTTCGTTCCCTTTCAATGTGGAAGAAACCTTGGTTCCTGTCCCAGGGTCCCAAGTTGGGAGCGTTATGTCGCCGAGTATCCGTTTCGACAGATGCCTCCCTCACGGGCTGGGGCGCGGTCATGGAAGGCCGCTTTTCGAGAGGTCACTGGCAGGACCATCATTTCTCTTGGCACATAAATTGCCTAGAAATGTTGGCGGTGTTCCGAGCTCTGAGGAGTTTTCTGCCAGACCTCCAGGGTCGCCACGTTCTCGTGAGAACCAACAATACGTCAGTGGTGTCCTATTTAAACCGCCAGGGGGGTCTGAGGTCCGCCCTCTGTGCAGACTGGCGCATAAGATCCTCCTGTGGTCCCAGCGGAGACTGTCGTCTCTCAGGGCGATGTATGTCCCGGGGGACCAGAACCAGGGAGCAGACATGCTGTCGAGGCAGGGGCTGAGGCCCGGGGAATGGAGACTCCACCCCGAGGTGGTGGAGTTAATATGCGAGAGGTTTGGCCAAGTGGAAGTGGACCTATTTCTGTCTCGAGAGACGACACACTGTCCACTGTGGTTCTCCCTCACACATCCAGCCCCGCTGGGGTTGGATGCCATCGTGCAGACGTGGCCGAGGCTGCGTCTGTACGCCTTTCCCCCAACCGCTCTGCTCCCAGCAGTTCTGGAAAGGGTCCGTCGGGACGGGGTCAGCCTACTATCAGTAGCCCCGTTTTGGCCGGCCCGAGTATGGTTTTCGGACATCATCCTGCTTCTGGCGGGCCCGCCATGGCAGATCCCTCCGAGGAGGGACCAGTTGTCACAGGCGGGGGGCTCAGTTCTCCACCCTCGGCCCGAGCTGTGGAAACTGCGGGTCTGGCCCCTGAGGGTGCACAGTACCTAGAAGCCGGCTTGTCAGCAGAAGTGGTTGAAACTATACTCACTTCCAGAGCTCCCTCCACGAGGAAGTTATACGGCCTTAAGTGGAATGTTTTTTTCCATTTGGTGCAGAGAGCGTGATTTGGACCCAGTTCACTGCCCAGTGGCTTCAGTGCTGGAGGTTTCTCCAAGACCGCTTTTCTGCCGGGCTTACCCCGTCCACACTCAAGGTTTATGTGGCTGCCATTGCGGCATTCCACGCTCCTCTGACTGATGGTCCTCTGGGGAGGCATCACCTGGTCGTACGTTTCCTCCGTGGAGCCTGGAGGATGAGACCTGCGATTCGCACCAGGGTTCCCTCTTGGGACCTGGCAGTGGTTCTCGAAGGGCTGGCCGAGGCCCCCTTCGAACCATTGGAGTCGGCTGAGGCCAAGAACCTTTCGTTTAAGGTGGTCTTTTTGTTGGCCATTACTTCTCTGAGGAGGGTAGGAGATCTCCAGGCGCTCTCTATTTACAATGGGTGCTTGGAGTTTGCTCCAGGCAACATTAAGGCCATCTTACACCCCAGGCCCGGCTATTTGCCCAAGGTGCCATCTAATGTGGCACGGCCTTTGGTTCTGCAGGCATTTCATCCTCCACCTCATGTGACGGCGGATGAGGAGAGACTTCATCTGCTCTGCCCTGTCAGACCACTGTAGTGTTATATCCAGAGGTCCTCCTCATGGCGGAAGTCGGACCAGTTGCTGGTGTGTTTCGGGTCGCCCAAGAAGGGGCTTCCCGCCTCTAAGCAGACCATTAGCAACTGGATCGTTCAGACTATTTCCCTGGCTTATCAGGTGCGCAATTTGCTTTCACCCATGGCCGTGAGGGCTCACTCCACCAGAGGCATAGCATCATCTAGAGCCCTCCTTTCAGGGGTTTCTATACATGACATATGTGAGGCGGCTGGCTGGGCTACTCCGCACACATTCAGGTTTTACAGTCTGGACCTTCCCTCTACACCCGGTGCACGAGTGCTTTCGTCCTAGGTTGTGCCTGAAGACAGCTTCACACTTGGATGAGCGGGGTTCGTTGTGATATAGTGGGTATCTCGTTCCCCTAGTGTCGTAACCGACGCAGTTCGAGTTCCCTCGAAAGGGAACGTCTCGGGTTACGAATGTAACCCTTGTTCCCTGAGAAAGGGAACGAGACACTGCGTCGCTTCGCCACACCTCACCCCGCCTGGAGCACTTGCTTCATAGCAAAAAAAGCTGACATTTCTGTGTGCCGGCATGCTTTTTTATACATCCGCTTATGCCGTCACACGCTACGTCATCACGCAACGCCAATAGGATTGGATTCGATTTCATTCATGAATTCAGACGCGCTCCGCTGAAGGGCGTTCCCCTAGTGTTGTAACCGACGCAGTGTCTCGTTCCCTTTCTCAGCGAACAAGGGTTACATACGTAACCCGAGACGGTTTGTGAGAATGCGGAACTCCGCACTGGACAAAAGCTCAGGCGTTTTGAGTGTTAAGTGGATTCTTATTTAAACACATCTGATTAGCTATGGCTTCAAGAAATCAACAGATATGCTTGTGATTGGCTACATTGCTCAACGCTGCAAAACACTGTAAATAGAAACCTTTGACGCTCTCAAGAGCGCAATCATCTAATCTGTTTCTCCAATGTGCTATTATTACTGATCCTCGACCAGCTGTAACGGGCAGCTTTTCCCTCTAAAAGCAATCAGAAGAAGCATTAGTCAGTAGTTTGAGTGATAAAATAGTCTTGAGTCCGTGGCACAGCCTTACACACACTTCGCCTATGGCCCCACATTTTGTGTGAAACCCTAAAATAAAATAAAAAATACAATTGTATATATTTATATATATTAAATATTTATATATTTTATGTAGTTATTCCACTAACTAATATATTTCCCTAAGCTAAAGATGCAGCCACATTTACCATTTTTTGACAAGTTTAAGTCATTTCAATAGGAATCTACTTGATCAAGAATTTAGCGTGAGGGCAAAAGACTTTAACATCGTAACATTTAACTGTATTATACATTTTATTTGAAACCCAGTTACTGTGTGAGTTTCTCCTTATTAAAAACTATATAATTAATACATTTATTTATTTTGATAGCCGGGATGCATAGAAAATACAAATCAGAAAAATCCATACAAAGCCACCAAAATCAGCTCATATACAGTATACCATAATATTGAGTTTGACCTTCTGAAGGTGACAGTCAATATTTCAAAAATCTGTATTAGGTAACTTCAGGCAGATGTGAGCATGCTCTGATAGCCTAAACCACATCCACTTACCACAGTGAAAATTGACAGCAAGCAGTGAATCCTCCTCAAAACAAGTTTTTTCGTTTTGTTTGTTTTTAAAGTGGGATGTATGTCATCAGGCTTAATTTAGCCTCCTGTCAAGTCTGTAAATCTAAACGAAGAGTCTTGAGACTCTGTATATGGACTTGACGCGTCTATCTATAAGCTTGTATCTGGGTGTTCGAGGCATGGGTCAGATGACTTCTTGGCGGGAGATCATCCGGTTGGGAATGTGTAAAGTGCTGACAGATAGAGAGAGAGCGCTCCATAATGACATATCATAACTCTGACTGTCATGATGCGATTCATGATACTAAACAGCTAGCTTGATGTGAATACAAGATATCTGGAGAACATACTGTACAGTACAAAAACACTTTATCTAAAAGCACTTTTGCCAAAGCCAAAGATATTTAACACTGTAATTGCAAATCACTTTGTTTATGATTTATTTATTTATCGGATGGAACCCACAGGGGAAATATTTCCCTTGCTTGTGTACAATTTAGTGATAGTCTATAATGTCCTGTCATACTAAGAGTTCTTCTGTTTTTGGCAGGATTGGTTCACGGTTCTCGAGCACTTCCACAGGCTGAACGCCACAATCACTGACCTTGTGATGGGAAATGTATACACCTTCAGAGTTTTTGCCGAAAACAAGGTTGGAAAGAGTGAGACTGCTGCTGTAACAAAAGATGCTGCTCATATTCAGAAAACAGGTGAGGTCACAACGTTATTGTTTTACGGCACTTCAAACCTCTCCCATTAGGTCAGGGATAGGCAACGTTGGTCCTGGAGGGCCACTGTCCTACAGAGTTTAGCTCCAACCCTGAAAAAATCACCTGCCTGTAACTTTCTAGTAATCCTGAAGACCTTGATTAGCTTGTTCAGGTGTGTTTGATTGGGGTTGACGCTAAACTCTGTAGGACAAGGGCCTTCCAGGACTGAAGTTGCCCATCCCTGCATTAGGTAAAGTTAACTTGGTTTCTGAAGAAAAGTAAATGAAAACAATAATTAATGCCTTACATGGGGTAAACTTACTAATCTATGGCCTTGAGTGGCTTATTGTTGGCAGCATAAGGATAAAATACACCCATATTCAATAAATACAAAGAAACTCTAGATGGCGCAGGCATATAGTCCATAACTCGATCTGCTTGCAATGACATCATTCTCTAGAAAACAGCTGATTGGTTCCTGCTGTAGCCAATGAGCTCGCTGTTCAACCTTCAAATGTTTGGTGAGCTTTTGCTGTAGCAGTTGCAGTGCACTTTCAGAAAACCCTCCACCTTCCCCAGCTCCACCTGTGAGTAATTCATGTATGCTATATTGTAAAGCAGCTGCATGTCTTATGTGCTTACCATGTATAGCAGTAGCAAGTCCCATACTTGTTCTGCAGCAGCAACAGCAGCGTAGCAGAACTATTCAGCCAAGACCAATATCAACACTGTCATATCCATTACTATGCCACACACATGGAGAGTTGCCATGACAGAAATAAATACAACAATCACAATAAACAATCCTTCCACTAAGTAATTAAATTCACTATCATAACTGCAGGCTGTTTTTGGTTGTCATGCAACATAGAAAGTTGGCACATTTTCAAAGGTTTGAGGTCAGTAAGATTTATGTTTTAAATGTATAGTATGAATAATTGTATTTAGCAAAGATTAATTAAATTGATCTAAAGTGACAGTAAAGTTTTAATTTTTCAAAATATTAATATTTAAAATAAAAGCTGTTCTTTTGACATTTATATCCGTCAAACAATCAAGAAAAACAAATGTCAGGGTTTCCACAAAAATATTAAAAAAGAGGGTAATTATTTGCACACAATCTCACATTCTTTATTATATGGCAAGATGCAAACCCGCTTACAAATAAACTTACTTATTGATATAATTGATATTAATAACTTCCTAAAATAACTGTTAACTAACTTAAGTTTTTGTTGGCAGCAAACATTGACTGCACATATAGTACTAAGTGTTCTCATTGTGTGGAGATAAGACTTGGCTCTGCCTTGAGTGCGACAGTTATCGTACATGGTGTCTGCATAATACAATGGATTACGCTGGAGTGCTGCAAAACTGAAAATAATTTAGCAACATGCATCAGCCATCTCTCTGCATAAGTATAGCTGTTACATCCTGAAGTAGCTGACACTGAGCTGGTGACGTTTCTTAACTTCCAGAATGTTATAACCTTCTGTCCTGAGCCAAAATCTTTCTGCAAGAACAAGGCTTTTAGGTTAGCACATTCTATGCTATCTTTGTTGCATACAAATGATATAATATATATTAATATAACAATTAGCGAGGTGTCACAATGTTCAACTTTTCAACTGATTAGTGAGATCAAATAATTTAACTAAATTTCTATTTTTTTTTTTTTCATTTTGATGTTTATGAAAACAATGATGATGATATATTTTTGATATGTTTAGAGCTTTAATTACCATGCTAGCAGCTTGCAATGCCTTAGCTGTTATACAGTTAGCATACTCATCGGGCAATCAACCTCTTTTCCCCTTAAATCAGTGGTCTCTAACCTGCAGATTAGCTCCAACCCTAATTTAACTCATCAGATCTAATCAAGGTTTTCAGGATTACTAAGCTGTGTTCAAAATTAACCCCTATACCCTCTTCACTCTTCCCTACATTACTCCACTAATATAGTCCACTTGAAGGAGTGAATGAAATTGAGTGAGTGAATTCGGACACTGAGTGAGCATATTTTGTACTTGCTTTTGAATAATCATTTTAAACTTAGCAAACTGGCAGCTACAGTTGTAATGAAAAAAAAAAGGAAGTCTGCTAGGGAAACTAGCATTTATAAACCTTAATTAAACAAATATAATAATCAATTAAAAATACATTTATACATTTGTTATATTATGCTGTAGCCACATTGGACCAGCGGTTTGGAAAACGGATGGAATGATGCGATAATTCATTTGACACGGCTTTCACAGTACACTTTGGGTATTCTCTAGCCGTTGAGCCTACATCAGTTGTACACTTGTTATTGTGGTGCATTATGAGATTGAATGAGTGCACTCGTTCACTATAGTTTCAGACACCAATACAAATGGCTGTCCCCTAAAAGAGTGGCCTATTTGGGGCAATTCTGCTCTAGAAACTTCCAGGTAGGTGAGTTAGAGAGCTGGCTGGAGCTAAACTCTTCAGGACAGTGGCCCACCAAGAGCTGAGTTAGAGACAATTGCCTTAAATCAAGGGGGTCCAGTCCTGCTCCTGGAGGGCCACCTTCCATCAGAGTTTAGCTCCAGCCCAAATCAAAATGAACCGTATGTAAGAAATGTATTTCAATTAATCATAAAATGGCCCTGATATGTCACTAGACATTAAGAAATCATGTTCATTTCAAATACTTAAATCACTGACAATAGTAGTCCGGCCAGGATATTGTCATTTAAAAAGTGAAGTTGCAGCCCTCAACTGATGTTGATGTTGTGATGTTGTGTTTTGGTCTGATGCGCCACCCTCCACCTATCTACCAATCACAAAGTCAGTAGTGTTGCGGCATCCGGGTTGCCAGCTCTGCTGTAGTTACCTCAGCTGCAGCTACAAACGTGTCGGATAAAAAAATGTCTAACGTTACGAATCCAAAAAAAACTGGTTATGGTTCCGAAATACTTTGTGACAAAGTGCGAAATAAAACAAGGATTTGTATAGGAGATGCCTTTGAAAGATGGAGACGGCTGAAAACGGAGAAGAATCCTGCTGGATTCTGCAGCCTATCTGGCAACCTCGAGTCAGGGGGGAGGGGGAGGGGATACACTGCTCTACAGTAATTTGAAAGTGATTGCAGTACCAGTTTTGGCCACAATCTTACAAACGGTTCCTTTAAATACACCTGTACCAGCTATCAAAGAGTGTCCGAAATTATCCCCTCCACCCTTATGTAGTGGGTTCCATTTTATTTTAAATTGTACACTTTAGACATTCTACTAACTATAAACTAATGTCTAAAGTAATGTCAACTAACTCTCATTAGAATATGCAGACTGTTAGGTTAGGTGAGGGTTAGTAGAATAAGTTGAACCACAGTATACTTGCAAAGTTACTTATAGGCAGTTGAATGTCTGTTGGGGGACCATCAAATGTTATACAATAGAATAATATATTAGCAGATATTAAGCAGAATGTCTTCTAAAACTCCAATGACTGGTTGTTGTTATGAAGTTGCAAAGTTACTTATAGTCAATAGAATGTCTAAATTGGACTTTCAAAAAAAGGTATTACCATAAAGTGCACTATTAGAAGGGACTACCATTTGTAATGATCTCCGAAACCATATTGGACATTATCAAGTTCACTCATTCAATCCCACAATGCACCTCTACAATGAGTATTCAACCAATGTACAATTAAAAGCTAGCTGCTAAAGAATGCACATACTCTGAGAATTACTGCAAATGATTTCCAGTGTCCTGCTCTCAGTTTCCGAATTTGCGCCCTCAATTTCATTCACTCATTCAAATGGACTATATCAGTGGTGTAATGTAGCAAATAGTAAATGAGGGTAGATGAATGATGTTGGGGATCAATAGAAACTTCCAGCCAGTTGTTGGCCCTCCAGGAGCAGGATTGGACACCCATGTCTTAAATTCATAGGTGCTACAGCCATAAACATTCAGACGGACATCTTTTGCTGTTCCAACTTGGATTGCACCCCTTCTATGGAACGTGTCCGATTGGAACCTGACCAGGAACCCACCAACTAATTGATTTTAAAACCAGTAGCTTTGCACATCCTAATGCCATGTAACAGCTATACCCTCCTGACAACTGTCAGTCCCGGCTGAGGTTGTTGTCCCCTGTCCTGTAGGTATTGTCTACAAACCACCAGAGTACAAGGAGCACGATTTCAGTGAGGCTCCCAAGTTCACAGCTCTCCTCAACGACAGAGCTGCCACTGTGGGCTACAACACTAAACTACTGTGTGCAGTCCGAGGCAGTCCAAAGGTATGGATGATCTCTCTTCTGCTGATTTGGTATAGTCCTCCATGCCCTCCTTTTACATTTTATATTGTGGACAATGTACCAACCAGTAGCTAAATGTTTGGAGCCAGGAATTAGCTGATGAGTCACTACAAATATACTTCTGAAAGAGTATCGTTGTAATTCAAACAACAGTTGTTAATAATCCAATGATGGTATCAACATATCCAAACGTCCTTGGGTTCAAGCTCAATAAATAGCTTAAGTATACCCATAGCTGTAGTCATAAGGCACAAAAAGCACAGTGATGTTGGTCATTCCTGCTGACCACTAAAGCCAGCTGGTAAACAGTCAAGTGGGGACTATGTTAGCTTGTCATTCCCAAGGAGGGGGACATAGAATCAAGTTTCGAGAACAGCTGAGATGGATGCAAAAACTGGGCTGAATGAAAATCCTGATGAGGTAGTCTTCTAGGACACTTCACAATTCTTGTTCATTAAAGCTTGCAGTGATTCGGCCTGCTGTCTATTTTGTGCTAACAAAGTTCCAGAGATGTCCAGGGTCTCTTGGGAATGTTGTATTTAGACATTTAAAACCTTCAAAGCCATGATAGAACATAACATGTTCAAGAACACAGTTATGGCTTCCTCAATAGAATGGGTATAATATTTACAACATGATCCAAACAATACACTCTGTTCCAAAGTGTACTTTATTAAGTAAAGCTTTATTTATATACAGTACCACTTTTTAAAAACAGTGTTCACAAAGTGCTTTACAGAAGAGAGAAACAAAACGTAAATCAAGTAAAGACCCTAGTGATCAAATGTGTTTTGAGAGACATTTTAAAAGTGCAGAAAGTCAATTGCTCAGGTTGTCAGGAAGAGAGTTCCATAGCTTGGGACTAGTCCAGATGTTACAAATGCATGGACAAGTTTCTCATTGTCAGAAGGGGAGAGAATGTCACATAGTCAGGGTCACATAGTCATAGTCATTAGTGAAATTTATATAAAGACTGTGACATTCAAAAACCCTTGCTCCAGATTTTCATGTTCTGGCTTAATTTCTATTTGGCACCAAACCAGTTCCAGGGTGTCTCGAGGTTTTTGGATGAAGTTGGAAACCTAAAACCATCAACGCCACTGGAGAACATCATGATATATTATTATTTTCCACCATCGTTGTGAAACTGTGCCTATCCATCATGTTTATCCGGACCAGTTGACACGGTTAAACTTACTTTTTCACTTTGGTGCTACAAAATCAGGATACGTCTCGGACACAAGAGTTGGCGACAGTGTGAAAATGTACAATAACCAAACATTGGAGAAAGAAAGATTATGTACTGGAAATGCACTTCCTCAACTTGCTCTGAACTATTTGGCTCAGTGGAGCTACATGGTAATTGCTTCCTCAACAGGATTATGTTAGATTATTCCTCCCATTTAAAATTCTTTTCATAATGCAAAGGAATGATGTTCATTATCCAGATGTATTAATTAATCTTGGACAGTCTTATGTCATTGAGCCCTTAACACTGCCAGTTTGTGAAAGTCAGCAAGTTGACTAAACAGCATAGTCTTTGAAGAACACATGCTACATGTTTATGGAAATATAAGATCAGCACAGAATAATCAGTGGTTCGATTAGCAAGATCCCTGCTACGATCTGTTGTGCATTGCCATATCTGTTAGATCAGTTTTTGACGTCCATTGTCCTCAAAAAGTATAGCTAACATAGTTATAGCTTCAGCTTGGCTACTGTAACTCCTTCATTATTTCCTGCAAAGCGCTTTTACTTAGACAAGTTTTCACTGGATTTAAACATTAGTTTAATTCATGAAGGAGTGTACGTTAATTAAGACCTCATCTCAATCTTCCCTAAAACACCTTTGCATTAGCCATTCTGTGCTAGCTTGATGTCTGAAAAAATGTAGCATCTTGTGGACACAATTTGTGTGTGGAACCAACGATATTAGATCCCAGAGGAGCTCTATGTTTCTCTTTTCATGGGAAAGTTACCCATGGAGCAGTGGGACATTAGTTAGCATCCTAATGCTATAGTACGTGCTAACAGAATGCTGAAATGCCTCTGTAAATTTGACCCATACGGTGCAGCTGATGAACCACAAGGGGGCAGAAATTCAGGGACTGAGACGTGTGACATTTTATATAAGGACCATGACACCTCTAAGTGTGTGTGAGAGATAAAATTAATGAGGTTAGGGAAGCATTAGCACTGGAGTTGGGTTATATAGCTTCAGTTACACCAGTTCACAACATTACTGTGGGTTATTCAATGCCTCTCAGTTTGTCATCCATGTATTAATTACACCTTATTAAAATTGATTTTGTTTAATTGCAAGAGTGTTTAAATGGTACTGTGTTAAACATACGTGTGAAACGTTCCAGTTTAATGGATGACTTGTTAGTTCCAAGCAAACACAGAACGTTGCCACAACGCAGCCTACCCAACCGTCTAACAACATTGCCAAAAGGTTGCTATGACTACGTTGTGTGAACGTTGTTACAGCGTTGTCACAATGTTGACATTGAACCACCGTTCAGGGCCATTGCTAAAGGTTGTGCCTAGGGTGTCTGGACAACCACTGGACGACATATGGTTGCCACAACGTAAATGTGTTTGCGGGGTTGTTACTACATCAGTTGAAATGACATTTATTTTGTCTGCAGCCTAAGATCGAGTGGCTGAAGAATCAGATGCTCATAGGGGATGATCCCAAATACAGGCAGATCAACAACCAGGGAGTGTGCTCGCTCGAAATCCGCAAACCATCCAGCTTTGATGGTGGCGTCTACACTTGCAGGGCCAAGAATTCCCTTGGTGAGGCTACAGTTGCCTGTAGGCTGGAGGTCAAACGTAAGTACAGGATCGTTTGCTCTGTGCCTGACACGCTAATATGACACAAGTTGCATTTTCAGCTGATTATAGTGACATTGATCCTTTAAGGTGTTTATCCGGGAAAGGAATGGCAAGCGATCATTTTTTGTGCCGACTATGATTAATTTGAGTTGTTTTAAAGCATGTATAATGTGTGGGTGTGAGTACTGGATGGGTACAGAGATATGTTGGTGACAGTTTGCTTTTCTCTTTTACCAGAGGTGACCATCCAGGAAGAAAAAGATAGGAAATAAGATGATGTGCACAGGTCAGTAAATAAAATCTGGTTTCGATTGAAATACATTGAAATACATAATCATGATTAATCTCATTTAACATAAATGTTTTGTTTTAATAATATATGTATGTATATATGTTATTATTTTTATATAAAATGTGTGTGTGTGTGTGTGTGTGTGTGTGTCTGTGTGTCTATAAATGCCAGTGTGTATATTTTTATATATAAATAAATTATATATAAATATGTAAAAAAAATAAAAATATAAAGTAAAATAAAATAAAATCTATTATTATTTGTATTGTTATTGTAGTAATTATGATCAGATTGCAAAAAAACATTGATCCTTAAAACAACAACTACTTGTTTTGTCCTTCATGGACATGCAGTTACACTCTGTAAGATAATTCAAATATCTCAGAAAAGCTGATGTGCATCAAAAGTATGACTGTTATGTTGTAACTTGGTTTTTAAAGGGTCTGTAAATCCTTTAGAATGCACACTATGCCTCCAGGAACGGTTTGCTGTTTCACCACTCAGATCTTTGAAAGACATTCAGCATCAGGTTTAAATGAAAGTCAAACAATTATTATTATAATTATTATTTATTTAGTGCAAATATCAAAATCGAATGTTACATGTAAAAAAGAAAAAAAAAAGAAAAAAAGACAAAATGCAACAAATTGATGGGGGAACCCAGGTAAAACATCCCTACGAAACATTATTGTAGACATCTGCACACTTTGTGCGTCTAACATCCCTATCAGCGAGTCTCTGACGTGTGCTGGCAGCTGTTCCCCACTGTGAGACTCCCATACATGGAGGAGCCTGCAAACTGTGAGAATGTAGCAGCTTCAACTCAAAGAGGCCAGAGTGACTGTTAGCGGTTGTGTGGGCTAAAAATGAAACTGTGGCCTGGCAGAAAGCAGAGAACGGAAAACAGCACATCACCAATGACTTCTGACAGTTGCCACACACTGCCGGACAGACCTCAAGTTGACACCTCATGTTCGGTTCCCAAGCACTGAAAGATTAGTTTGTTGAATGCACAAGCAACACCTAAAACCTAGGAACTGTAAGAGTTACGAAGAAAAAGAACAAGTTTATACCATCTTTTAAGCGTTTACCCTCTTAAAGTCGCCATCAAATCAAAATTGACAATTCACAATTGTGGAATAATGCAGTTTCTATTACAAATGATTTATCCGTGCATATCCTTATTTATTTTGTTATTCATGTGTAATCTTTAATCAAAGTAACTTCCCCTCCCTCCTGCAGCGACATCTCTTGTCTTCTCTGATGACGTGTTTACAAGTGCGAGGGCGGGACAATAACCTGTCACTCACATGAGATCCACCAATTGCAAACTCCCACCTTACGTTTTTTCTTGTTCAAGAGGCCATTTAACTCGTCATAATAATATATATTTCACAATATGGAAGAAAAGAGTATCACTAAGTTCCATGCCAATTTTAAAGACAAACCAAGGCTTGACATTAACACCCGACAAATGCGTGTGTATTTCATCAGTGGCGTTTAACGCATTCACTCCTACTTGCCACTTTGGAGGGTTGAATTTGTATATATAATATACACATTTTTCATTTTTAGCCTTTTAAAAAGGCATCTGAAAGAATTAAACTAAGTGCAATTAAGTGTTGTTTAAAATATAGATTCTTCGATACATATCACTGAAATATAATTATGAAATAAAAATATCTACATGGCCATTTTTCCCCATGGTTTCCCCAAAATTGTGGCCAGTGAAAATGCTGAGTGGCTAGTAACTTTGGAAAACCACAAGCCACAGTGGCTGTCTCACAGTTTGTCTGAGTTTTCATGGACTTATAGTTTGACTTGTACCCGATTTTACGGTGTTATTCATTTTGTCATGTTTCTGGTTTGTGGTTTCTCTGTCTTTGGTCTTTTATTCAGTTTGTGCCTTGTTAATTGTAGTCTGTTATCCTAGTCATGTCATTATTAGGTCCCTTGTTTCAGGTGTGTTGTCTTGTTAGGTTGTATGGTCCCGCTCGTTGTTCTGATTTGCCCCAGCTGTGTCTTGTTCCCTGATCCCCTCTGTGTATTTATATCCTGTCTTCTCTTTTGTTCATGGTCAGTTATTGAATGTATGTTTGGATGTGCGTACCACGAGTGTCTGTTCTGTATCTGTATTAAAGTCTACTGTTGCGTTTAGATCCGACTTCAGCCTTTGCTTCCACGCAAATCGTAACAGAATAACTGACCCACTAGGATCTAGCAGCCATGCCTACCTGGAGTCCTGATGTCCAGATCCTCCGTCTTCGCCAGGAGAATCGCGCCATCGAGGATTATGTCGCAGAATTCCTCGAGCTGGCATATCTCGCGCAAATGAACACCCACGGCCTGAAGATCTTCTTCCGCGGAGGATTATCGGAACCACTCCGGTCTCTGATGCCCGAACCTGGTCCGCACGGGTCTTTAGAGTGGTATATCGACTTGGCCCTGTTGTGGAGCGGCTCTTCGTTTACCGTGGGCGTGGAGGAGAAGCTGCGAGAGCCTGCGCTTCACGTCGCCCCGGTCGCGCCCGCGCTTCACTTCAGCTCTGCCGAGACCACGCTCCACAAGCCCGCGCTTCAGGTCTGCTCAGCCGAACCCGCAGTATCCCCTCAGACCGCGCTCCACGTCTTGCCAGCAATCAAGCCAGCCTCCGGATCGGTCTATGGCCGTACGGGACAGATCTCCAGCGTGGCTGATCCTCCTATGAGGTCTGCACGTGCTGCCAGGAAGACCGTCATTCCAGGGTCCCGCCATGTCGAACCCGCGCTTCACCCCAGCCCTGCCGAGACCGCGCTCCGCGAACCCGCGCTTCTCGTCCGCTCAGCCGAACTTGCACATCACTTCAGCCTCGACGAACCCGAGTCAACTGAGTCAAGTGCCGCCGAGTCAAGTGAGACCGCGCTTCCCGAGTCAAGTGAGTCAATTGCCGCCGAGTCAAGCGAGTCAAGTGCCGCCGAGTCAAGCGAGTCAAGTGCCGCCGAGTCAAGTGAGTCAAGTGCAACCGAGTCAAGTGAGTCTACCGAGTCAAGTGAGTCTACCGAGTCAAGTGAGTCTACCGAGTCAAGTGAGTCTACCGAGTCAAGTACGTCCAGTAGTGAATCAAGCCCAGTGAAGCGTCGTCGCAGAAGGAGGAGGAGGACTCGTTTGCTTCGCCAGGCTACGGAGGGCGTTCCCAGACTCCTCGCCCTGCCGGCCCCGCCTCTGCGCCTCGCCCTGCCGGCCCCGCCTCTGCGCCTCGCCCTGCCGGCCCCGCCTCTGCGCCTCGCCCTGCCAGCCCCGCCTCTGCGCCTCGCCCTGCCAGTCCCGCCTCTGCGCCTCGCCCTGCCGGCCCCGCCTCTGCGCCTCGTCCTGCCTGCGCCCTTCAAGCTCCGGGAGGCCTGCCCGGAACCCATTTACCACATGGAGGTTCCTCCCGAGGATTTCCCCAAGTATTTTTTGGGGGGGGGCAGAAGGTACTCCGTGAGGGCCATGGAGACGACGTCGACATGGTCCTCATCCTCGTCTGAGTCTGCTCCGACCTGGCCACCATCTCATCGTGCTCCGCCCTGGCCTTTGCCACGCCATGCTCCACCCTGGCCTTTGCCACACCATGCTCCACCCTGGCCTTCGCCACGCCATGCTCCACCCTGGCCTTCGCCTCGTCCTGCTCCGCCCTGGCCTTCGCCTCGTCCTGCTCCGACCTGGCCACCATCTCGTCCTGCTCCGCCCTGGCCTTCACCACGCCATGCTCCACCCTGGCCTTCGCCTCGTCCTGCTCCGCCCTGGCCTTCGCCTCGTCCTGCTCCGCCCTGGCCTTCGCCTCGTCCTGCTCCGCCCTGGCCTTCACCACGCCATGCTCCACCCTGGCCTTCGCCTCGTCCTGCTCCGCCCTGGTCTTCGCCTCATCCTGCTCCGCCCTGGCCTTCGCCTCGTCCTGCTCCGCCCTGGCCTTCGCCCTGGAGGCTTCCTGTTCCGGGTAAGCCACGCCCTCGTCAGCCTCCAGGGCGCCCACCCTCCCGCCCCTATTTGATGTTCATTCGGCGCGGGGTCGCGCCTTATGGAAGGGGGGGATAATGTTACGGTGTTATTCATTTTGTCATGTTTCTGGTTTGTGGTTTCTCTGTCTTTGGTCTTTTATTCAGTTTGTGCCTTGTTAATTGTAGTCTGTTATCCTAGTCATGTCATTATTAGGTCCCTTGTTTCAGGTGTGTTGTCTTGTTAGGTTGTATGGTCCCGCTCGTTGTTCTGATTTGCCCCAGCTGTGTCTTGTTCCCTGATCCCCTCTGTGTATTTATATCCTGTCTTCTCTTTTGTTCATGGTCAGTTATTGAATGTATGTTTGAATGTGCGTACCACGAGTGTCTGTTCTGTATCTGTATTAAAGTCTACTGCTGCGTTTAGATCCGACTTCAGCCTTTGCTTCCACGCAAATCGTAACACCCGAGTTGTACCCTCACGTTCATTCTGTCTGGTCACGTTCACATTTACTGTGTGTTGTTACCTTTTGTTAACCTTGTGGATATTTTATAATAAACTTGTGTTGGAACCTCCTCCATCTTCGTCTGTTTACCTATACCTTACTGACTATAGCAAAGTTACACAAAATATAGCTTAAAATTCCCAGCATTGCCAAAATTATCAATTTGTAACTAACTGAAATATCAACTTTATTTTCCAATGCTAGTTACGTTACTGTGGGTGGCTACTTTTGATTTTGAGAATAGGAGAAATACTTGTTAGTAATGATCATGTTTTTATGTTGTTGTTTTTTGCAGTTCTGATGTTAAGGAGCAGCAGGACATAATTCTATAGAATAACAATGGTGAGCAAAGCTACAATAACTCTACAATATTTATACAACATACAAATACTCTAGTCTTCCTGTATCGAATAGTATAAGAAATTTGAATGCATGTCTATCAATATGTAATATGCCTCAGTGACTGGCAGTACTGTCCCACACATATTCAGTGCATTTGGTGTAGTTTAACAGATGCATTCTGGGGAATGGAGTCTGACACACTTTATTCTCTCTTTTTCCTGTTGTAGATGTTTACAGTGGTGCAGGAGGATGAGCTGAAGTGTGCACATTAATAGAGGCTCAGACTCGCTTCTGTGATTCATTCTTACAAGAAACATTGGATAGGTTCCTGTTTGGCTTAAAAGCTACAACCAGTTAGTGAGGACATAAATACGAATGTTTAGTTTTATATTTCTTGCATGTATTTCAAGTGTCACTTTAGTTGTCTGAACCTGTTTATTCATGATGAAATCCCTCGTTGTAATTGAGAGTGTTTCCAATAAAATAATAAACCCACATATCTTATTGCAATATTATATACTAATCTTTAAATTATAAATAAAACATATTGTTTTTTTTTTTGTTTTTTTTGGATATAGTGCTGCAGTGAACAAAGTCGTATTGTTTGTGAAATTATATGTCAAACTTTATTCAAAGGTCCCAGGTTTGCACCGGATGCTTTCACCATTAATCTGTTTCTGATAAACCAGACGGATGATTGATTTAGAAACAGAGGCTTCACGGGTTTCAAATATATGACTTGTGGTCTTATCTGCTAGTTCAAAAGTTGTACATAGATTAAAAAAGCTTTAACTGGAACACTCCGATGTGGAGTGTGGATTAACTGGAGCGACTCCGATACAAACCGATGAAACCAGTTACTAACAACACTGGTTACACGATTTACCATTAGCAAATTACCATTTACCATTGTTGCTGATGTTATGGGATATCATAAACATTATAAACTATTTAAAAAATGGTGAAGCATTAGCTCTGCTTATAATTGCAGGCCCGGTTCTACGGGGGTAGAAGCAAGAGCACCCTCAGTTGATACTTTAATAATATATTGGCGAAACAGATTTGGCAAACTTTCCAGTGCATATTTGTGTTTGCGCTATGGAGACTGTCAAATGTCTCTATTTACAACTTCACAAGGTCATACTTACAAATAATCAGTAGAGTAGTATGCGTATTTGGCGTGCTGTCCGAGGAGAGGGCTCCGAGCTCGGAATTTGGCCCAAACCAGGCGAGTGTGAGGAGACGGTGTGGTGGAGGGATGCTGAAAACTTTCCAAGGAACATAGGTGAGTCAGCTACATATGTATATATAGGCCTAAACTCATGCTGATTGGGTAGGCATGTTGATAACTGATTGTTGAAAGCTGGTTGGAATGACGTGGTGATTGGATAGATCATTTGAACGTGTTCCTCCTGAACTTTGTTAATAAAACAATTATTAATAATGCTGATCTCTTGAATGCAATAGCTTAGCTTAGCTTCGTGAAGACTTTCAGAGATGAATGGAGAGTGAGTGTCAATAATGCAACGGTGCAGACTGAAGTCACTTCCAAATCAGGCAGCTTATGAAAAATGTGGTGAATCTCGTGTTCAAGTTCACAAGCTTGAATTAATCTGAGGTGAAATCCTTGTGGGAAACGAATTCCTCTCGCTAAATTCCCGATTGCAGGATTCTTTGTGAGATGATGTGGTTTGCCTGAATTTCACCATTTAATTAGCTCCTGAGAAACGCGATAGCTGCTGATAAAAGTGAAGGAGCTGTATACAGTGATAGGCGTTGGATTCCTATAGGTAGACATGGATCAGAGAGTCAGCTGATGCGAGCTTGACTAACGTGACCTGCCAGAACTGATACTACGCTTGATATTTAATGTCATTTAGTTTTCTATGTAGCCAATAGAAAGAAGGCTGAGGCCCGTAAAACAGGCGGGGGTCCACCTCTACCTTCCCTCACCCCGGCTGAGGAGCTGGCACTGTCCCTTAATGACTGTCAGTGGTTTATGGCCAGGGAACAGCACAAAAGTGTGTAGGAACCATTTGAGTGCAAGACATACTGTACGAACAGTATACCCTACACACAGTTGCCTTTCCCACATGCTCTACAAACTAACCCTGAAACATAACCTGCTGTTCAGGAATGAGTTGCTATGGCTACTTACATACCTTGAAAGTTACCATTTATTTAACTTAAAGCTGAGCTCATCCGCTTATGGCGCTTTTCCACTACACAGTACCAGCTCGCCTCGGCTCGGCTCGACTCGACTCGCCTTTGTTTGGTTTTCCACTGTGTAAAAGTTGTACAGTTGCTTTCGGGTACTTTTTTTCGTACCGATAAGCCGATACTAAAATGTGACGTGAAAACCATGACGACTGCTGATTGGTCAGAGAGAATCGTCACTATTCACTGCCTCATCATTGCACTCGCCATACGGAGTATCCTGAATAACCCCGCCAGTTTTAAATAGTTTGGCAAGAGATTGCGCGATTTTTTTATAGCATTTAAATTTATACATTTTAAATATATTTATAACCATGGCAACACGTAAGAATACGCCGTGGTCAAATGAGGAGCTGTAGACTTTTCTTTGCTTGGTTGCCGAAGAGAGGATTCAGCGAGAACTTGATGGGGCAACGAGGAATGAAAAGGTTTATCAAGAAGTCTCCGAACTGCTGTCCACATATGGCTACAACAGGACTTTCCAGCAATGTAGGGAAAAGTAAAAAAAAAACTGAAAAGTGACTACAGAGCTGTAAAAGACCACAACGGCCGCAGTGGTTCAGACCGAAAAAGCTGGAAGTGGTACGAACAGATGGATGGTATCTACGGCCATAGACTGGCGAGCAACGGGAGGGAGGGTGGACTTGACTCGGCTACCAGTTTGTTGGAGTCGGTGATGGAGGATGGTAAGTGTTTTAAGTTTACATTACATTAACCCTGTAGGCGCACTGTGCTTAAGAGTTTTGTTTTCTGTTGGCTGGCTTTTGGAAAGCTGAAACTCACTTATAACAACGAAGACTGTAAACTTGTGTCGCAGATAACAATTGCTGCTAGCTGCCATTGCTTTTTCGTAGTGTGTTGACTTTTGTATGATCTTTCTATTAAAGATTCCTTTTCGACGACGAGCGAGAATGATTCAGTGACTCCCACTGATGCCACGTTGGCACCGGCATCAACAACGGCACCAGAACCAGTGGCACCATCGACACCCACACGATCAGCAGCATCGATACCGGCAACTGGTTAGTATAATAGGAGAAAAAGTAAACACTTCTAGCCTGTTGTCTGTGAATCTATACACACTTATTAATATACCATTAATATTAATCATTAATCTTATCAATAACTCATTAATATATTATTATTAATATAACGTAAACTAACTTGCATAACAACAGGAAGCAGTCCCAGTTATAGGAATCAAGGATTTATTAATAAACCTGTTCAGTATTTTTATACCTTCCAGATGTACAGTGTACACCTATACTGTACACATGGTAATTTAAAGTTGACATTTACTAAAATACTGGGTTTTTGAATGAAACGTGAGTTGTCCGGTTTTCTTTATTGTAACTCGTTCATTGCAATTATTCGTTGTCCAGGACGGGTTAGTACGTGAGCTGTATCGTTCAGTTTCGTTCCGACAAACGGGGCACTACATTTTCTTTTGCTCAATATGTTCAACGTTAATAAAAGGTATCCAAGAAAAAAGTTCTCCACGCATTATCCTGCAGTTAATGAGAAAAGTGTAATTTATTGGCGCACTTTATTGACTGCGTATTGAGACATAAAACTGTTGAGCTAGATTTTCAACCAATCAGCATTGAAAATGTAAGTAGGTCACAGCCAAAATCAAGTTAATACAGGGGTGTAATTTGTGGGGGGGATGGGGGGGATATAACCCCCCCCAATATTTAAATCTATGCATTACAACCCCCCTATCATTTATACCATGATCACAATATCAGGAGGCATACCCAAACTTCAACCCCCCCAATGTTCAAACCAAATCTACGCCCTATAGTATATATCACTATATTTTTTATACCTTCCAGACGTACAGTGTACACCTATACTGTACACATGGTAATTTAAAGTTGACATTTACTAAAATACTGGGTTTTTGAATGAAACGTGAGTTGTCCGTTTTTCTTTATTGTAACTCGTTCATTGTAATTATTTGTTGTCCAGGACGGAGGAAACGACGGAGGGAACAGGAGCATCTGACGGTCCTGAGGGAGATGCAGACATCTGATGTCGAGCAGCTGGAGTTAAACCGGGCACAGCGGGAGCGCCATTTACAGATGGCACTCGATGATGCAGCACATGCAAGAGAACTAGAAATGGCTTTGAGGAGGGAGGAGATCGCTGCAATGTCCTCCTTCAACCAGGCCTTTCTGGGAACCCTGAGCCAGCTTGTACAGGCACTGAACCGGCGGGACGCTGTTCCACCGCCCCTGGACTGAAACCCCATAGTTTGCACTACATGTAACGTGTGTACAGTTGATTGTGTATTAATATTATAGTTTTTTTTTTCTATTTGTATGTGTGTGAAACCTTTTTGAAACTAAAACCTTTTTGAAACTTATTACAAATATAAAACCTTTTTGAAACTTATTACAAATTGTGTCTTTTTTGATGGTTTGCTTTTTTCCAAGGGTTTGACCATGTATTTTCAGATTTCATACTGTGATGACCTTAAAAAAACAGCAGAGACAACATTTTTAACAATAATGTATTTATTTTTTAGCAATTAAAGTAACGCATCAGACCCTCTCGTACATCCCTGCCCTCCTCCTCTACACCCTGTGCCACTGTCACCACAGGCTCTGCTGCTGCAGGTGCATCCCAGTCATTGTCATAGTCCTCTCCATGACTCTCACAAAGGTTATGCAAAGCACAGCAAGTAAGAACCATAGATTTCACGGTTGTAACATTACAGTCATTTCTTTTCATGAGACAACGCCACCTTCCCTTCAGTCTACCAAAAGCGTTTTCAACCACTACCCGTGCTCGACATATTTTTTTGTTGTAGATCTGCTGTTCTGCTGTCAGCCGTCCGGTGTCAGTGAAGGGTTTTATGAGCCAGTTCTGAAGGGGATAGGCAGAATCTCCCAGGATGTAGTAGCCGACATTCACCCCACCAATATTCCTGGAAAGTGGTTGCCACGGCTGGCCAACTCCCACAATGTGGACAATCTAAAAACACGAGCATCATGCAAGCTGCCAGGCAGTCCTGCAAACACGTTCCAGAACAGTCATTTTCCATCTACAACACCTTGAAGGATGATGAAGTGCCAGCCTTTACGGTTGAAGTAGTCACAGTGGTACTCCTGTGGCGCCAAAATGGGTATGTGTGACCCATCAGTAGCACCAACACACTGCGGGAGCCCCCATCTGTTCTCAATGTAGGCAGCCATTTCTTCAAACTTCTCCTGGGCTGGGAACCGAACTTGTTCCGGAACCAACAATGTTTCTGCAGCAGCAGTGAACTCTTGAA